TGGCCGAGTAATATTCCATTGTATATATGTACCACATCTTCTTTATCCATTCATCTGTCGATGGGCATTTACGTTGCTCCTTTGTCTTGGCTATCGGAAATAGTGCTGCTATGAACATTGGGATGCATGCAACTTTTCAAATTAGAGTTTTCTCCCAATATATGCCCAACAGTTAGGATTGTTGGATCATATGGTAACTCTATTTTTAGTTTCTTAAGGAACCTCCATAATGTTCTCTATAGTGGCTGCAATAATTTGTTTAAAATATGCAGTGGAGATACATATATAAATGCCCATATGATATTAATGCATATATATAATGACTAAAACAAATAAAAACAGCTCAAAAAGATGTACAGTGACAAGTAATCTCCCTTTCACCCCTGTGCTTCAGTTCTCCAGTCTGTCCCCAGAGGCAGCTATAGTTTCTGGGTTTTGTGTGTTCCTGTCAAAGACAGTCTGTACACATACATGAATTCTTACATATGTGTGTATCCACCAACCGGCACTCTACTTTTCACTTAACACTGTTTCTGGGAGGTTGTTGCGTGATATGTACATGTCAGCTGACCTCAGATTTTTTTTTTTTTTTTTTTTTTTTTTTTTGGTGTACGGAGGCCTCTCGCTTTTGTGGCCTCTCCCATTGTGGAGCACAGGCTCCAGACGTGCAGGCTTAGCGGCCATGGCTCACGGGCCCAGCCGCTCCGCGGCATGTGGGATCTTCCCGGACCGGGGCACGAACCCGCGTCCCCTGCATCGGCAGGTGGACTCTCAACCACTGCACCACCAGGGAAGCCCTGGCCTCAGATTTTTAATGGCACCATTGTCATGCCATTATGTGATGCACTATAATGACTTAGAATATTTTCGTTTACTTAAATGGCCCCCAATCGATGCATTTAGTTTGTTTCCAATTTTCTGTTACTACATAAAGTGCTGCAGGGATTGTTCTTGTACACGCATCTTTATGCACACATATGAGTACATCCTACAGGTCGAATTACTAGGTCAAAGGGTATATGCATTTTAAATTGCAATCAATATTGCCAAATTGCCCTCCCAAGAGGCCACACCGATTTTCAGTCCCACCAACATTGTGTGAGAGGGCCAGATCCCCCATCCTCCCCAACGAGGCTTGTTATCAAAACGCTAACCTTTGCCAGTCGGTGGGTGAAAAAAACACGGCAGCATCCCATTACAGATTTAATTTGTTTCTCTTACAAATGAGGTTGAGAAGCTTTCTTCTGTGTTTCAAAGTCATGAGTATTTCCTTTCCTACAAACTGGCTGCTCGTGTTCTTTGCCCATTTTTCGACTGGTCTTTTTCTTGTTGATTTGCAGCATCACTTTGCAGGTGAAAAGAATTAGGCTTTTGTCATATCTTTTGGCAAAATATGTGTTCTATACGGGCCATTTTTTGGCAGCCAACTGTCTCTCTACCTCAACAAATTCTCCACAGGCTGCCAGAGTGGTCTTTCCGAAATGCCACTCTGATCACGTCACCCTCCTCCCGAAAGACACAAAACGGCTTCCTGCCGCCTGGATCCAGCTCAAACTCCCCACTTGGTTTGAGGGACCTGCCCATTTGGGGCCCAGCTTTCTCCCAGCCCCAACAAAAGGCCCACCACATGCAGCCGTGAGGGTTGTGCACTGTGCAGGGGGCAGTGACACCCAGGGAAGGACCTTGGGGGCATCCCCTGGAGGTGGACAGCGGGGCAGCCCGCCGAGAGGCTGCCTCTTTCTCCGGTGAACCTTAGCTCAGGACTCGTCACACTTTCGACCGTTCCTCAAAGCCCCATCTGTTCCATTCCTCCAGGGCTATGTCCAGGCTCTTCCTTCTGCCCCAGATGCGACCCCTCCCCTGTGGCCTGGTAAGCTTCCTCCTCTGCAAAGCTGACCCCACTTTCACAGGCTGGCTTGGGTCCCCCCGCCCCAGCCTTTGTGTGTCCCTTTAACCCACTGCAAGGTGATTCTCTCTCTAGGGGAGGGCTGTGTGCATTCACTCCTGGATCCCACCCCCGGTCAGAGGAGGTGCTCGGGAAATGTGTGTGGAATGAATAAATGAGGGAATGAGCGAAGGCAGCCTTCTTTTATTTTTAAAAGAACTTTTTAAACTGAGGCAGTATAGTTGATGTACAATATTACTGATATATAAGTTACAGGTGTACGATATAGTGATTCGCAATTTTTAAAGGTTATACTCATTTATAGTTATTGTAAGATGTTAGCTATATTCCCTGTGTTGTACAGTATATCCTTGGAGGTTATTTTATACATCATAGTTTGTACCTCTTAATCCCCTCCCCCTGGATTGCCCCCGCCCCCTCCCCTCTCCATCACCCACCCACTGGTAACCACTAGTTTGGTCTCTGTATCTGCTCGTCTGTGAAGGTGGCCTGACCACTGAAGCCAGTCCAGTGCAGGTGAGGAGTGAGGGGTGAAGACCCAGTATCCCCTCAGCCTTCTCAGCCTAATGTAAAGTTGTGCATTTACCTGATAGGCTGTTTTTTTTGTATAAATCTCCATTAAACACTTTGAAAAATGCAAATTAAAAAAAAACCCAGCAGACTGGCTCTTCCCAGGTAATTATAGTAGACCCTGCAAGTCTGTACTGAGGCCATTTTATTTAGTAGGTCTATGGCTCTTCCCAGATTATAAATGAAAGCCCTTCAGGGAACAGGTTATTCTCCCTCCCCTAAATTCCCCAGGGCGGGGCATTGCAAGAGGACTCAGTGGGCACAAACACCGTTGCCATGGGGCTCGCACAGGGGAGCGGGGGCCCAGGGACCCTTCCTGGTCCGTAGGGGCCAGTGGGATGTAGGCTCTAAAGCACCTCCTTCCTCCTAAACCCCAAACCCTCGCTGGCAGCCCCCATCTGGGCCAGCCCTCCAGCCCTCCCCCAGTGGGGAAGGTACCCACGGCTCCCCAGCCCCGCGCCGTCCCCCCCGGGGCGCCTGCAGGACTTCCTGCCGCACCACCCACCTCCACTGCTCAGCTGCCATCAGTCCTTCGCCTGCATCCTGGGGACCTTTAAACACGTGAGTCAGGTAACGATCCTCACAGCTGCACTTCCCTGCCTGGCTCCTGTGGCCCCTCTGGATTCCCGTGCCCTGTGCCCTGTGGGGGTCTGTACCTCTGCCAGCCCTGCCAGGGACCCTGTGACCTGGCTAAGGCCTGCTCAGCTGGCTCACCCCTCTCCCTTTCCTGCCAGCACCGTGCCAACCCTGGGGAGGTGGGGATATGAGCAAAACCAGACATGGCCCCTGCCCACCTGATGCTGCGAGATGGACGGGGGTTAACTAAGAGCAGAGAGGAGGCAGCACGGAGGGAGGCCCTGCGCACAGATCCGGCTCAGAGAACGAGGACGGCGTGGGGCAGGGGAGGGTGGCAGAGGGCCAGCCCTGCAGGCAGTGCAGGCCACCCTGAAGATGTCCTCCTTGCCACTGGAGAGTGTTCAGAGGACACTGTGATCGGGGCTGTGGTTTGACAGATAACTGAGATTAGGATTGGAGGGTGGACCACGGAGTGGGACGGTGTGCAGGGATCCCGGCGACAGGAAGCTGGCGGCGGCCCCGGTGATAAAGGGCCGTGAGAATTGATGGCGCTTCTCATGGCGGTTATTTAATGCCCTCTCCCCTCCCTCCAGGACGGCAGGGCCTTGTCCATCCCACTGGCAGCCTGGCAGCACCTAGCACACAACTCAGTACATAGTAGGTGGAATGTTCTGGGAATGAATGACAGGTTAGAGAGGGGATAGTAATCAAATCATGGATTTAACAGGTGGGGAAACTGATGCTCTGTGTCGTGGAGCAGTGTGTCACCTGGGTGAGCTGGCGACGACCCAGGCACGGGGCAGCCCTGAAAACCCTGTCCCCGCCCACCTTGCTCACAAAGACCTGTTTTCATAGCTTGTCATTTCCCTACACGCCCACAGGCAGGGACACACACTGCACCGATAGATAAATCTGGGCCACTTTTCAGCGTCGTTTAACATCCCCGGGGAGGTTGGGTCACGTGGCCTCCAGCAGCCCATTAGCTGACAGGCTGAAGCGTATCATACTGAATTCCACGGCCCGCGGAGCCCGTGAGACGCCGTTGCTGCTCGGAAATCTGCGCTGAGTTATTAGGACGCAATTGTCCTGCGCATTTCCTCTAGTGAACACGTTGCCCCCCTCCTCTTGCCAGGACTGTTTCCCAGTGGGAGGACCTTGAACTCACTCCCTGTCTATAGCTTGAAAGGAAGAGGGGATGACCTGGAAGGGAGATGGTAGGGGGGCAGGGACCAGTGCTGGGGGCTGACTGTGAGTGCCGCTTGCAGAGAGATGGTCTGGAGGCATTGCGCTGTCCTCCTGCCCACCCCCGCAGCCCCCCCCCCAGCCCTCATCCTGTGTCTCCCTGCTCCCCCACCCCCGCCCGTGTGCCCTGGCCCTTGGCCACAGCTGCAGCAGGACCTATGGACAGGCCAGCCAGGGACTCAGCCGCTGACGCCCACAGCCTGGCCATGGCACAATGCATCTGCCTCCGCCCTACCTCCTGGGACCCCACGGGCCTGAGCTTCTGCCTTCGGCACGTGTCACGCACCCTGACCACTGCTGTGTACAAACTAAACTGGGACACATCACCATATGGTGAGGACACTCAAGATGGCGGCTCTCTTGCTCTGTAGATCCCCTGCTCGCCCAGGCCCTGCTTCTCCTACGCCCTGGCACACGAGCATCATCACCCCCTTCCCCAGCTAGAGATTGTTCTAGTCCTTAGGCTAGATGGTCGTTAACCCGAAATGCGTGCGGGACGGGCCCCAGCTGCTGGTTTCCCTGGTGACTGATGAGCCAATCTGACGTCAATTGCGCTATAAACGGCAGCCTCCTTCTCCCTCAAGCAGCCAAGATGGCTGCCGTGTCCTGCCTGCTGCCCACGGTGGGGTGTTGCTCCAGGATGCTCTGGTTCGAACGTGCAAGACACTTTATCCGATTAACCATCGATGTCTCTGTCTGTTGCCAGGCTCTTTCTTCGGTCTCATGGCTGGACAACTACAAGACTTGCAGGCCTGCGGGGTGCAGCCCAACTGCTGTCGGCCAGGAAGCCGAGGAAGCCGAGGAAACTCCTGTGAACGCCGAGATGTTGGAAGGTAAGGACGGCGTGGGGGGGGGGACCGCAAAGTGTGTGGTGATCGGGGAGGGGCGGGGTGCGGGGGCCGTCCCCTGCACTTGGGGCCCTGCGACAGCTGACCACTGTGAGAGATGTCCTTATCTTCCACTACACTGGTGATGCTCTGTTAACCTCGCTCTCCAGTTTAAGAGTAGCAGCCCCGTGCTCCTGGCTCATCTGACTGCACGGGGATGGCTGGTGGGTACAGACGAAATTTTCGTACAGACCTGGCATAGCTATCAAATACTTAGGCGTTCTCTGGTTGGGTAAGACGAGATACCCACACCCTCCACCCCTAAACAGCTACAGACACGGCCTTTAGGGATATTAACTCAGAGACAGGCTTGTGGCCAGTTACCCGGAAAGGAGTGGTTGAGGCCTGTGGCAATGGCAAAATACTAGAGTACCCTGGTGCTTCTGGTCCCAGCTGCGGGAGGGGGCAGAGCTACGTGCAGCCTACGGTGTGTCGTAACAGGTGGAAGCCATTACAAAAGGCCTACCCACGTTGTTGAGCAATGCAAAAACCCACCACTGGGGGGTCTAGAACAGCTGTGTGTGACATATGGGACCCCTGTGAATATCACTGGTGACCAAGGGACCCACCCTGAAGTTGAGGAATGGGCCGCTAAGAATGCCACACGCTGCCGTTTTCAACCGCCCTCCGGCCCCAGTGCCGCCGGCCGAACTGAAAGGCTGCTGGGCTAGTTAACCATATAGGGATGGGAACCTGGCCTCAGCTGTGGATCAGCAGGCTAACGCAAGCCCGGAACTATCACTGAGCATCCCAGGAGCCGTCGTCCCAGTGCCTACGCTATGTTAACCAGAGCCAACTAGTCCCCATCCGACTACGGCTCTCGACCACCAAAGGGCCGGCGACAGCTATGGGCCAGGACAATAACTCACTTCTGCCCTTGCCGTGCGATCTGCCCCCGGGGGGCACGTTATAAGATGGCCCTGGGGCTGGCAGGTAAGTCCCTGGTGATTTGGGTTCCCTGCCCCGTGGGGAACAGGACAGATTTTGCCTGCTGGAGAAAGCAGCATTGCATTAGCCCTGCGGTCGATTGCCATGTGCTTGTTCCGTGGCATGGCACCGCAGGCCGGGGCGATAACCGCAGGCGGGGGTGGTGCTAGCCCAGCACGCTGTCACCGCTCGTATTTTGCTCAGTGGTCGCGAACTCCCCTGTATGGCGCCTGTTACGCATCTTAGGTCCCTAGTCTGGGCGGAAGGCATCCGGTTACGGACTGGGCAACAACGGCTGCCTCACTGCGAAAGGAGTCTGACTGTTGGGTCTCCAGCGAGATGCCGTTGTCGTCCTGCTCTGACTCCCATGAAAAATTGACCGGATAAGTGCCTGTCTTACCCTTGATACTCGTTAGGTGCTGTGTCTGTATCGCACGTGTGGTATCTGGTTGCAGTGCCCCTCTGCATACCTGACCCCAGGGATATTGCGGAAGAGGGGCGACCCAGATGGTAAGGGTCGCGCAGGGGACGTAGCGGGGGAGTGTGTGGTCAGGTCACTCAAGATGGCGGCTCTCTTACTCTCTGTACCTCCCCTGCTCGACCAGGCGCTGCTTCTCCTACACGCTATCACCTGAGCATCTTTACCCCCTTCCCCAGCTAGTAATTGTTCTAGTCCTTAGGCCAGAACGGCTCCACCTGCTAGTTTCTTAAAGGGAAACAACTGCCCTCGTGATGGTGATGGTCATTAACCAGAGGGGCGGTGAGGGATGGGCCCCGCCCGCGGTTTCCCTGGTGACTGATGAGCTAACCTGACATCAATTCCCCTGTAAATGGCAGCCTCCTTCCCTGAGTAGCCGAGATGGCTGCCATGTCGTGCCTGCCATCTGCTGCACACCATGGAGTGTTGCTCCAGGACCCTTTGTTTTGGACGTGTAAGATCCCCCGTCCAATAAACCACTGATGTCTCCGTGGCTGTTTCCAGGCTCTTTCTTTGGCCTTGAGGCTGGACAACTGCAAGGCTTGCAGGCTCGTGGGGTGCAGCCCAACACGTATGCACACCGATATACAGACCACCTGGACAGAACCACGCTCAAACACACACATCCCATCCCAACGTGTAGGCTATATCTACCCACACGGACCCACGCCACACCCATCACACCTAGTGTCCCTGGCTCTCACACCTACACACACACACTCTCACATACATTTGCACACACGCTTCTACATGCATTTTGAATTTCCAAGCGGCAGATAAACTTCTGTGATTAATTCCTACTTTTATTGCTCTGTGGTCAAGAAATATGACCTTTCCTTTTATGAACCTGCTTTGTGCCGAGCATCGTTAGGTGCTAAGTGTACAAAGTTGAATAAACTTGGGCCCTACAGCCTAATAACAGAAAACAAATTCACCTTGACAATCTGATGTGATACCTGATGCAGCAGAATCACAGCACTTACATTTTCTCAATATATTTTATATATTTTTCTCTACTTAGGTTGTTTCCTTTTTTGTTTCTATTACCTAAACACTGTGAGACCAAAAACATATTTTCATTGCTGTCCTCATTTGCTTTTCTTGAATTACTAGTTCGAATGGGCATATTCTCCCCTATTTACTGTCCATTTGTATTGCTTCTTTGTGACTCGCCATTTCATATCCTTTGCCTGCTTTTCTGCTAGTATGATTGTTTATTTCTCTAGATTTCCAATTATTTGTCTTTTGCAATACTCTTAGATAATTCTTCAAGCCGAAGTTCTAGCACGGACCACGACTTTGACTTCTAAGCACACGTGTTCTGTTTTTTGCTCTTAGCAATGATATGCTTTAATCCCAAGTTTTTCTTTTCAAAGTCCCTCCCTTTTCTTAGCAGCACACTCCCATTTGTTGAAGAAGCATCATTTGAGTTACTTCAGCGTCATTCAGGACCTACGGAGAGACTTCTGCAGACTGGTACACTAAGGCTTGGTGGACCGTGGAGAGCAAAGCAAGACTCACTGCCAGTGGAGACGACAGTCCAGGAAGGAATCTCCCTGGGAATTTGCCCTCCAGGTTGGCATGCTTGTCCGTTCCTCCATACAGGCTGTGCCCGCACCCCCTCCCACTGGGGGCAGGGGTCCGGGAGCAGCTCCCCCTCCCCCTCCTCTGATCGTAGGCGTCACTCAGAACACTTGTTAAACTTCAGATTCCATGGATTTGGAGATACAGATGCAAACTCATGATTTCTAAAATGTGTATATATACATGCACATGTATATGTGTTTGAATGTATATTTGTATACACACACACACACTCTACATTTATTTCCTAGCTCTGTCTGCTGAAAAGGTCAAGAAGGAAGGATATTCTAGCAGCTCTCAGCTCTTGGTCTGTAATTCCATTCCCCAGAGTTCCTCAGAGAAATGACTAATCCCAGAGCTGGGGCAGGGTAGGTACATGATGAGCCTGGGACATCTTGTGAGGCTAGAAAGTAAGGGAATGTTCAAAAACCACATCGAGGGTGTGTCACGTGACACGGGCACTGGCTTGGAGGGGCTCCCAGTGGCCAAATCTGGGAGTGTTTGAGCACCAAAACAATCAAGTAGAGTAATGAATTATAAGCCCATGAAAACAGACATTTACGAGCCCATACTGATAACAGATAAGCAAATACATAGGAAGAATGGAGGACCTTTGCTACAGTAAAATTCTGAGTCAACCAGTGAAGTGGAAGAAATGCTAGAACTGGAAAGCCATCCTTTGCAACCATCCTAGTAAAAACTGGATCACTCAAGAATCATTAAGGGTTGCTAAATCTAGGGGGATGTTTTGGCAATGAGCAGGATATTTGTATGATGTCAGACTGTCTCCCCACAGACTGCATATTAGTTGCAAGCAAGACCAAAAAACAAAGAAAACCCAGTAATTATACGGTGGAGAAATTGGACCACACCCTGATCGGGTGATCAAAATTAACATCACCAGGGAGGGATAGACAGGTGTCATGTGCCTCCAGATGTATTACTCTAAGAAGGACTCAATATATGCTCTCTGCAGTATTTTGGCCAAGAACGAATAACTAGAAAACTAGTCACAAGGAAACATCAGACAAATGCAAAACTCTGTTTTTATTTAAAAGGGCAGGTGGGGGTTGGGGGAGGAATGGTTGGTCGTATTCTTTCAATGTCAATGTCATAAAAGATAAAGAACAGGGCTTCCCTGGTGGTGCAGTGGTTGAGAGTCCGCCTGCCGATGCAGGGCACACGGGTTCGTGCCCCGGTCCGGAAAGATCCCACATGCCGCGGAGCGGCTGGGCGCGTGAGCCATGGCCGCTGAGCCTGCGCGTCCGGAGCCTGTGCTCCGCAACGGGAGAGGCCACGGCAGTGAGAGGCCCACGTACCACCAAAAAAAAAAAAAAAAAAAAAAAGATAAAGAACAGTCATAGAAATGTTCCAGATTAAACGAGGCTAAAGAGACACGACAGCCGAATGCAATCTCTGACCCCAGACTGGATCCTGTGCTGGAGGGAAAAAATAGTATAAAAGGATGTTACTGGTTCTACTGAGGATGTTGGAATGTGAATATTAGATGAGAGAAAAGTCTGTAGTAGTGTTAAATTGAGGTGGGTAACTATACTGTGATTATGTAAGAGAATATCTCTAATCTTAGTAAATATTCACTGCAGTATTTAGGAGTAAAGGGCTGTGGCATAAGTCACAAAAATAGCAGTAAATGTTAAACATTTATGTTGAATACACGACTGTTTTAATACAAATTCAGTAACAGTGCAGTATAATTGGGCTTGGGTGCACTGTGGCATATGTTCTGGAGCCTGGCTCTTTCCCTGGCTTGGGGGCTGGTCACCATCCACACCGTGGGTACAGCCTCACCAGGTTGTCCAGATTTGAGGTCTCCTGTCCACCTGCCTCTCCTGCTACCCACAGGCCCACTCTGTTAATAGCTACCAATGGGTGTCTGGGAAAGCAGTTTCAATTTTGTATATTTATTGTGTATTCAGCCACTTTACTGAACCAGGAGCGTTTTTTGGTTGATTCCCAGGGAAATTCTAAGAAGATGACCCTAACTTTTGTCTTTTCTTTCTCAATAGTTTAGTTAGTTTCTTTCCTGCCTTTTTGCCTTGAAACGCAGCAGAGTCCTGCATCTAAGTCATTTCTTACCTCATTGGGAATGTCTGTTATGTTTTACTCTTAAGGATAATGTTGGCTATTGGCTTGAGATATTCTATTTTTCAAATATGTTTTTATTACAAAAGCAAAATTATGGTCAGAAAAAAGAAACTTAGAAAATACTGATTAAGCACAGAGATGGGAGGGGGGAATAAAAAGCCATTTATTATCTGTAGGTCAGTGTTTTGTTAACACCTTGGTATATATCCCTAATAATTATTATTTGAAGATTTTATTAGAATAATCATTATTGCTCCCAGAGCAGGTAGCATTTATCTATTATGTGTCAGTAATGGTGCTAAGTTTAGGGGTGACAAGCATTATTTCAGCAAATCCTTACAGAATACCTCTCTATAGTGTAGATACTGTTATCCCTACTTTACAGTTAAGGAAATTGAGACTGAGAGGACTTTCCCAATTTACCTAAGATCATGGGCAAATCAACAGCCCTTAAGGCTGAAAACCAGGTCTCCCTTATGCCCAAGCTCTGGCTCTTACATACACTACTATCTCCTAATCCAGACCTCTTTGTGCAAATAGATTTTTTTAAAACTAAGCTAGAATCCTTCTGGACATATCATTCTGTTATCAGCTTTTACACCTGATGTATTATTAACATCTTTCAGTGTCATTTATTATTCTTCTACAAATGTAATGGCTGTGTAGTGTTTTATTATATGGATATGTTTTATTTATTCTTAAATGGCTCCATATCAAAATAAAAACTGGTCGTAAAATATTCAAACAATAACAGGAATATAAAGTAGAACATGCAAGTCCTCCGTTCCACCCTGCTGAGCACCATTCCTTTGAGGAAGTTACTATTAATAGTATATGTTTGCTTCCACATAGTTCTTCTATGTAACTTATTATATGTGATGTAATTTATTTAATTTTCTTTAAAGGAATGGGTATACCAATCTACTGCTTGCCTTTCATACATAATATATGATGAACATCATTCCAAATCTATCCATCCTTTTTTAATATGATTTTTTAAATTGAACTATAATTGATTTACAATACTGTTAATTTTAGGAGTATAGAAAGTGATTCAGTTATATATGTGTGTGTGTGTATATATAATATGTATAAATTCTTTTTCAGATTCTTTTCCATCATTGGTTATTACAAGATATTCAAGACAGTTGCCTATGCTATACAGTAAATATATATATATATGTATCATCTTTATCCATTCATCTGTTGATGGACACTTAGATGGCTCCCATGTCTTGGTTTTTGTCAATAGTGCTGCTATGAACATTGGGATGCATGTATCTTTTCTTTTTTTTAAATTTTTGTAGTTGAAGTGTAGTTGATTTACAGTGTTGTGTTAGTTTCAGGTGTACAGCAAAGTGATTCAGTTATACATATAAAATATATATACATATATATAATCATTTATTTGTATAATTTCTTTTTCAGATTCTTTTCCATCATAGACTATTACAAGTTATAGAATATAGTTCCCTGTGCTATACAGTAGGTCCTTGTTGCTTATCTGTTTTATATATAGTAGTGTGTATCTGCTAATCCCAAACTCATTTATCCCTCCCCCACTCCCCTTTCCCCTTTGGTAACCATAAGTTAGTTTTCAGTATCTGTGAGTCTATTTCTGTTTTGTAAATGAGTGCATTTGTATCATTTTCTTAGATTCCACATAAAAACCATATCATATATTTGTCTTTCTCTATCTGACTTACTTCACTTAGTATGATAATCTCTAGGTCCATGCATGTTGCTGCAAATGGCATTATTTCATTGTTTTTCACGGCTGAGCAAATAGTACATTGTGTATATGTACCACATCTTCTTTAACCATTCATATGTTTATGGGCATTTAGGTTGCTTCCATGTCTTGGCTATTGTAAACAGTGCTGCTATGAACACTGGGTGCATGTATCTTGTCGAATTAGAATTTTCGCCTTTTCTGTATATATGCCCAGGAGTGGGATTACTGGATCATGTGGTAACTCTATTTTTAGTTTTCTAAGGAACCTCCATACTGTTCTCCATAGTGGCTGCACCAATTTACATTCCCACCAACAGTGTAGGAGGGTTCCCTTTGCTCCACACCCTCTCCAGCATTTATTATTTGTATTTTTTTTTTTTTGGCTGTGTTGGGTCTTCGTTTCTGTGCGAGGGCTTTCTCTAGTTGCGGTGCGCGGGGGGCCACTCTTCATCGCGGTGCGCGGGCCTCTGACTATCGCGGCCTCTCTTGTTGCAGAGCACAGGCTCCAGACACGCAGGCTCAGTAGTTGTGGCTCACGGGCCTAGTTGCTCCGCGGCATGTGGGATCTTCCCAAACCAGGGCTCAAACCCGTGCCCCCTGCACTGGCAGGCAGATTCTCAACCACTGCGCCACCAGGGAAGCCCTGTAGACATTTTTGATGATAGCCATTCTGACCAGTATGAGGTGATATCTCATACTTTTGATTTGCATTTCTCTAATAATTAGTGATGTTGAGCATCTTTCCATGTGTCTGTTGGCCCGTCTGTATGTCTTCTTTGGAGAAATGCCTATTTAGGTCTTTTGCCCATTTTTTGGTTGGGTTTTTTTTTGAGTGAGTTGTATGAGGTGTTTGTATGTATATTTTGGAAATTAATCCCTTGTCAGTTGCATCGTTTGTAAATATTTTCTCCCATTTCCTAGGTTGCCTTTTCATTTTGTTTACAGTTTCCTTTGCTGTTATCCATTCTTTTTAATGGACAAGAATCAACAAGTCACATCTGGCTCTTGGCTCGAGCAACTGGGAGGATGGCAGAGCCATTTTGGTGGGTTAGAAATGAAGGGAGGAACAGGTTTTGGGGTCATATCAAACCTGATGTCAAGTGGACACAGGCCCTGTGAAGGGCTCAGGGAGCAGTGGAGCTGGGTATAAAAATGTGGGAGTCGGTGAGCAGAGAATGGATGGTATGTAAATCCATGGCAATGGTCCCTGATGCCAAGGAGGAGCCACACCTGGAGAAAGGGTGTGTGCTCTCCTTTCTCCCCAATCCCCACCTCTCCCTGTTGTCTCTCAGCACTGGGTCTGAGTGTCCTCTGATGTGGGCCTGCTTTAGTCACTCACATTGCTGCCAGGTCACTGAAGCTTTGTGCTTTGCACTGTCAAGGGGTGTTCAGAAAAATCACCCAAACTTGGAATTAAGGCAAAAGGAGGCCAGCTTGTCATCCCAACTTGTCATCCCAGTGTCCCACTGGAATATTGTTAAGAGGACCACCCCAGGATTATTCTATCACCTGGGGGAATACATCTTTATTTGACTTGCCATTCACTACGTATGTATGTACATAGCATGTGTATTACATGTTCACTTGTGGATTTTTGGCACCCCCATTGCTTGTGGTTTTATAGCCCTGTAGGGCATTAACCAGTCTTGACTGTAGCCAGAGAACAGCACATGATCACCCTGATTAGTCTCAATGTAACCTGAGCATTTCTTACCAGGATCTCTCGCTGAGACTCTCCACCAGGAATTTTCAGGAACACCAGACTCTCTGCTCTCCAGAGCCATGTTCCTATCTCCTCACTTAGGCCCATGTACTCAGCCACTGCTTCCTTCCCCTGGGCTCCTGGCTAATGCCAGCACGGATCCACACAGCTCTGGTATGTTTGGGAATTATGACACTGTGCCCTGGAGGGGCTCTTTTTCCATCCATTGTGCTGGGTTCTTTCATCCTGAACACTTGAGTTCTTCCTTCAACTCTGGAAAATATGCTTTTATGATTCCTTTGATCACTTTCCCCTTTCCTTTTCTTTTCCCTCCTTTAGGAATTCCCAATAGTTGGATGTTAGATATCCTGGATTGAGCTTCTAGACATCCTGGATTGAGCTTCTAGACTTTTTCCCTCTCCCATTTTCTTTTTTTTAAAATTTATTTTATTGAACTACATTTGATTTACAATTTGTATTAATTTCTACTGTACAGCAAAGTGATTCAGTTATACATACAAACAGGTATATATACATATATATACATTCTTTTTCATATTCTTTTCCATTGTGGTTTTTTAATGCAGTATTGTCTTTAATTAAGTACAAAGACTTCCATTGATGTTGCCTAGAGATCATTTTATCCACCGCTCTGTTTGGCCGCCAGTCTCTTGTCTCTCTCCTCAGCACTGGTAAGGTGGATACCCTTTCCATGGGGAAGAGAGATCCACAGTTTGTTGCCTTTGCCAATAACGAAAATGTTGGAGAGCCAGGTGGCAAACTGTTGCCATTGGCATCTTTCACATGAACTACATCAAAAGAACCAGGATGTCTCTCCCTGTTGGTGATCACACCAGTTCTTCCCAGTTAGCACCTCCAGTCACCACGCACAGGTTACCAGTGTCAAATTTGATGAAATCAGTAATCTTGCCAGTCTCCAAATCAATCTGAATGGTGTCATTCACCTTGATGAGGGGGTCAGTGTAGCCAATGGTGAGAGCATCATGGTTCACCAGATGAGGGATTCCTTTTGTCCCCACAAAGATCTTTCTCATTTTGCACAACTTATACTTCACCTCCTCAGCTGTAATATGATGAGCAGCAAAGCGATCCTTGGTGTCATAGATCAGACAAAAATTCTCTCGTCTTGTCAATGCTGATGACATCCGTAAAACCAGCAGGGTAGGTTGCATCAGTGCGGACCTTGCCATCAATCTTAATGAAATGCTGCATGAAGATTTTCTTTAGTTCATCTCCTGTTAGGGCATACTTAAGTCTGTTTCTTAGGAAAATAATTAGTGGGAGACATTCCCTCAGCTCGTGGGGACCGGTAGATGGACGAGGAGCAAACCCACCAGTTGGTTTATCCAGCGTCCAACACTTTGGAGCTGCTACATGCTTCAGGTGCTTCTTGGGACCACAAGCCATGGCTGCGCTAGGCATGAAAAGTGATCCGTTGTGGTTTATCACAGGATATTGACTATAGTTCCCTGTGCTATACGGTAGGACCTTGTTGTTTATCCATTCTGTATAAAATAGTTTGCATTCCTACCCCAAACTCCCAATCTATCCCTCTCCCACCCCACCCTCCCCCTTGGCAACCACAAGTCTGTTCTCTGTGTCTGTGAGTCTGTTTCTGTTTTGTAGATAAGTTCATTCTGTGTCATATTTTAGATTCCACATGAAAGTGATATATGGTATTTGTCTTTCTCTCTCTGACATACTTCACATAGTATGATAATCTCTAGGTCCATACAGTTGCTGCAAATGGCATTATTTCATTCTGTGTGGCTGAGTAGTATTCCATCGTATATATGTACCACATCTTTTTTTTTTTTAGTTTTTTTAATTTTATTATTTTTTTATACAACAGGTTCTCATTAGTCATCAATTTTACACACATCAGTGCATACATGTCAATCCCAATCGCCCAATTCATCACACCACCGTCCCCACACCCCCGCGGCTTTCCCCCCTTGGTGTCCATATGTTTGTTCTCTACATCTGTGTCTCAACTTCTGCCCTGCAAACCAGTTCATCTGTCCCATTTTTCTAGGTTCCACATCCATGCGTTAATAAACGATATTTTTCTCTTTCTGACTTACTTCACTCTGTATGACAGTCTCTAGATCCACCCACGTCTCAACAAATGACCCAATTTCGTTCCTTTTTATGGCTGAGTAATATTCCATTGTATATATGTACCACAACCTCTTTATCCATTCGTCTGTCGATGGGCATTTAGGTTGCTTCCATGACATGGCTATTGTAAATAGTGCTGCAATGAACATTGGAGTGCATGTGTCTTTTTGAATTATGGTTTTCTCTGGGTATGCCCAGTAGTGGGATTGCTGGATCATATGTGTACCACATCTTTATCCATTCATGATGGCCCTTCTGACCAGTGTGAGGTGGTCCCTCATTATAGTTTTGATTTTCATTTCTCTAATAATTAGTGATGTTGAGCATCTTTGCATGTGCCTGTTGGCCCGTCTGTATGTCTTCTTTAGAGAAATATCTATTTGGGTCTTTTGCCCATTTTTCGATTGGGTTGTTTGTTTTATTGTATTGAGTTGTATGGGCTGTTTGTATATTTTGGAAATTAAGCCCTTGCCAGTTGCATCATTTGCAAATATTTTCTCCCAGTCCATAGGTTGTCTCGTCATTTTGTTTATGGTTTCCTTTGCTGTACAAAAGCTTGTAAGTTTGACTAGGTCAAAGTTTGATCAGCTCACTTCCGGTTCATCTCGCCCTCTGCTAATTTAGTCAATGCTCGTTCATCAACCTCCATCTGCCAAAGCTTTTCGAATTCTCTTACATACTGATATCTCCTCCTACATTAATTCTGCCCTTATGAGTGATCATCTTTTCAGTCCTGTCAGTACAGTGGTGCTTGAAAAGGAAATGAGATAAATGCATGTCATCAGTATACCTTGTTTAACTGGAAGATTATTTCTTTTAAAAACCTAATCCTACTGATGTAATATTTATTTTTTAAACTTTCTGATAGAAGAAAAACTAAGTAAATGTCTTCTAGTGATCTCTAGTTTTATTGCTTCAAGGTACAGAATGTGGGCCAAACTGTTTTTTTTTTTTTCTTTTTTTTTGCGGTACACGGGCCTCTCACTGTCGTGGCCTCTCCCGTTGCGGAGCACAGGCTCCGGACGCGCAGGCTCAGCGGCCATGGCTCACGGGCCCAGCCGCTCCGCGGCATGTGGGATCTTCCCGGACCGGGGCACGAACCCGTGTCCCCTGCATCGGCAGGCGGACTCTCAACCACTGCGCCACCAGGGAAGCCCCCAAACTGTTTCTTTGGCCAGCTTTTTCAGTTTTTCATTTCTCGATACATGCAGTCAGCTTTGGGTGACGTTCTAAGTATACGTGAAAGAAGGTGTGTTCTCTCTAGGGTAAGAGCTTGATGTATCCCTGCTTATTAAACCTTATTAATTATTAAAAACCTCTGGGTTCTCATTGCCTCCTTGATCTATCATAAGCTAATAATGGGGAGGTGTTAGTCTCGGACAATCGTATTCTTGTCGATGTTTTTCTTCTGCGTTTCCAGCAGTTTTGCTTTCTACTTGATGCACCTTAATCCACATACGGAAGTTCATGGCTTTTGTACCTTCACTACAAATGTCTGTCAACATGAAATGATTTTTCTGTCCCAGTCATTGCTATTTCCTTGAATTCTATGTTTACAGGGCATCACCTCAGCAGAGAGACCAGAGGGACCAGTTTGGGAACCAGGGTCAGTGGTACGGAAGCACTGAGGTGGCCCACGGGTTTGGCAATGAGGCAGTGGAGGTGGGAAAGGCAAGCCAGGCTACAGAGGGCTGGGGAAAGGGCGGGAGGCCGGAGGCGGAGATGGCAAGTCCCTGCAGGCAGTAAGTGCACTTTAAAAAAGGTTGTCTGAAGGGTAGAAAACCCAGCCTGGAGCAGGTGAAGAGCAGGTGGAGACCTGGTATTTTAAATGCTGTGAGAAGGAGGGGCAGGGCCTGAAGAGTCAGGAGTGATGAAAGCAAGGGGCGGCCAGGGGCTGCCTCGGGAAGGAATGGGGGTCCCCTCCTCTCCTGTGGCTGCTTTGGGGAAGGAAGCAAGGTGAGAGCTGGGGCGCCTGGCTGGCGGTGAGCCGGGGTGGGGTCAGAGGGTCACTGCCGGCTGTCTTCCCGCAGTGGGCTAGGAGGCTGGTTCTTGGAGCAGGGAGAGCGTCTGGCTGGGAGATCCGAGAAGAGGTACGGGTTTGGCTGAACCACGGTGGAGAATAGGGCAGGGAGTCCTTGCTGAGAGGGGAGATGGGAACCCACAAGGGCACGGTCTGAAATGGGTTTTTTTTTTTTTCCTGCAGTGCTCACCTGTCCCCTGTGCAGGGTGCAACTGAAGGGGCTCAGGCGCTGGCTTGTTCCCAACAAAGGCCCTGGGTTCAGCCTTGCAGGTGGGTCTGGGCCATGAGTTAGGGCTTCTCAGGTATCAGAGGCTTGAGTTTAAGTCTAGCTCAGCCATGATCTGCTGGTGGCCCTGGACCACCTCCTTCCCTCCTGGAGTAGGATTTCAGGGGCTGGGGAAGCAGAGTCTGGCAGGAGCTGGTATCTGCTGTAGGGAAATGCAGGGGCCAAGCTCTGGGAGCCTAGAAAGTCCACGCTTGTCAGAGCGAGGGGGAGGGAGAGACCCCAGCCCGGGAGAGGACGGGCAATCCCAGATCACGCAGGGTCTCCCCGACCACAACTGCCACCAGGGTGAACCGAGTGCTGGTAAAGAACAGTATCAGGCCACGATGCAGGAGTCACTCCTGGAAAAGCTCCTGACACACAGCTGAATGGAGAGGCGAGTCAGGCTTAAAATAGCTAAATAAATCTTTACTATTTCTAACTGCAAATGTACAGAAACTGCACAGCCATACAGTCTTAGAACACCAACAGCTTTCTCTGCACATTGTTACATAGTTAAGAGTCACGGCTGCAGGCAGGCGCTCCAGCCAAGACGCCAACATTTGCATTTTTTCCTTTTCACATACTTACAAAAGGGGGGGCAGGGAGGTGGAATGGGGGCTGGGGGCGGCTTGGGGGAGTGTGTAGAAAAGAGGGGCCGTTTCCCTGGACGGTCTGCCTTCCACAGACGGCCGGGGTGGGAGGGGGAGAGGTGTACCCTGGGGCAGATGCTCTGCAGGGGGGTGGGGGGGTGCCTGGAGCTCTGGCCCTGGTTCCCCACCCCCATTCGGGGCGGGCGGAAAGAGTCTCCACTTACAGGAAGTTTGACCGTTTCCTTCACCCTAAACATAAAAGTTAAGCAAAATGTCAGGCCTCCCTGTGTTGGCAGGAGAGGGGAGGGGAGAGCCTTCTCCAGCAGGGCTGGGCCTGGGTCTCCCCGAGCAGGGAATGCCTTCCTTCCTCCTCTCTCAGGGACGCGGGTTCAGTGTGACCCAGGCAGGTCGCACGTCCCCAGCACCCAGAGAGCACGCTGCACAGCCGACACATAAAATGCCACGGGCAGGGAAAAACCCCATCACCCAAATCCACAACCTCTGCCTCCTGCCCAGCACTGTTCTCTAGATTAAAAATAAAACAAAAACCGTCGGAGAGCAGCGGTCCCGGGCAGCCCTCGGCAGCACCAGGACTAAAGGACTATGTACAACCGTTAGGTGAAATAGTTACATTACAGTCAAACACCAAGAACATTTACAAAAATCGTCAGACTTGCAATTCAGATAAAAATCTGGGAATAGTCTGTACACTTTTACAGTTTTTGCACTAATAAGGCTCTCGGCCTGAGAGCTCCCAACCCAGGCCAAGGGCCGCCAGCACCGGCCACCACTGGCCTCCTGAGCCCGGCTGTCCAGGCCCTGGGAACCTCCCCCCTGTATTGCTAAGAGGCGCTCAGTCCGAGGTCGCTCAATGAGGCATCGGCGGGGCCGGGGGTGGGGGGGGGGTGAGAGGGAACCAGAGGAGGACGTCACGGGGCCAGGCCCTGCCTGTGTGGCCAGAGGAGTGAGGGCAAGGCCTCCGCCCCCATGACCTGCCTCCCTGAGGTCTGTGACCCTTGGGGGTCCTGCTCTCTCCCCACAAGCGGGTCTCTGGGCTAACTGGTTTCACCCCAGGACGGGGCGCAGTGTGGTCCGAGCCCCCCGCTGTGCTCCCCTTCCTGGGGAGCTCTGGGGCAACCTGGGCCCTGGTGGAGCGTCTCCAGCCCCAGTGACAGGAAGGGGTCGCCCCAGCTTCCCACGGCTGAGGCAGACGGGGCGGCTCCTGGCTGCAGGGTGAACGCCCCAGCTCCTGCCTGAGATTCCCCAGGGCCAGGGGTGGGAACAGGGAGGGACGAGAGAGACCCACGCTCCTGCCCACCTATGTCCCGCAAGGGGGGGCGGGGAGGGCCGATAAGCTACAGAACAGCCTAGAGCTGAGGAAAACCGGCCCCAGCCGCGGGTGAGCACCTCCCTGTCTGCAGCGCCTGGGTCCTCGGCTGGGCCTGGGAGGGGTGAGGCAGAGGCCGGCCGCACACACGGGGCGGGTGCAGGCTGCTGCTGTCTTGGAGAGGGAGCAAGTCTAACATCCTCCAGGGCCGCTATTTCCCATGCAGTGCGCACGCTCAATTTAAAAGGCCCCTGTGTTCCAGCAAGCGAGCAAGCGGGCTTTTGTTTCTAATGCATACTGTGAAAGGAAAAAAAATCACAGTTATCCACCTTCTCAGGGCCTGCGGGCGCTAGACTTTTCTTTAACCGTCCATCAGGAGCGCTCAGCCTGTCTCTCAGGGGGAGCACCTGCTGGCCACTCCCTGCAGGGCCACCGTGCCCGGGGACACTAGCTCCGGGAGAGGGGCAGGCACTACACAGCGCCGCCTGGGCCAGCTCTGCCCAGGTCTCTGTCTTCGGGGAGCCCCAGAGCATCAGCCTGGGCCCACGTGGCAAGTGAGGGAGGTCCTGGATCTTCCCATGGGCGCAAGGGCCCAGAAGAGAGCTGCGGTCCTCGCTGGGTCCACCTGACAGAACAAGTTAGGGAGGGAAGGACGGAGGGCGGGAGCGGGAAGGCGGAGGGTCTGGGGGCAGGTGACTCCTCGGTTCCTCACAGCCGGGAAGGGTCCCCGCGCATGCAGGGGCAGGTGCTCGGGGTGGAGATAGGCGGGGGACCCGGCGCTCCGGCAGCTCCGTCCTCCCCCCCCCCCCCCCCCCCCCTGCTGACCGCCCCGTCGGCTCCTGGAACTGAGGGGCAGGTCCCACAGGGCAGGGCCTGGCTGCCTGGCAGTCCTGGGGAGGGGAAGCCACGAGAGTAGGCCCCTGGCTCTCCGACCCTCCAGCTCTCCGGGCAGCTCCCTCCCTGGGGAGGGGTTGGGGGTACATGCACTCAGCCAGGTCAAGGAGGAAAGGTGACGCACACCAAATTCAACACCCGACAGAAACATTCCGCAGCCCCTGTGCCTGCTCCCCAGCCTGCAGTCTCTCGGGCCTGCACCGAACGCGCTTCTCGGGGAGCGGGCCGCTGTGCCCCGGCACGCTGCGTCAGTCTCTCGCGGCTCCCTCTGCGGCCGCCTCCTGGACCGCGGCTGGAGGGAGGCGCCAAGCCTCGGCCTCTTGCCCCTGCGCTGGGGCCGCTCCTCCCCAGGCCGAGACCCTGCCCTGGGCCACCATGGTCCTCCCTCCTCGGGCAGGTTAACAACTGCTGCTGTTTCTGAACTCGCCGTTCTCAGTAATCTGCAATTTGGTGGGGTTGGTGGGGGAGATGCCGTTACGGGCTTGCATGCTGTACCTCTCTTTCAGCTGTGTCAGGGCGCTCATGAGGCGGGCGTTGGCGGCATCCAGGGAGGCGATGCGCTTCTCCTGTGGGCAAACAGGGCATCAGCTGGGGTCGCGGAATGGCCTCCTGGGCCAAAGGGGGTCCGTGCCGGAAAGGGATCTCCCTGGAGCTGTGTCCACCTACAAGAAGCGCTGGGAGGGGGAAGGCAGGGGGCCTGGAGGATACCACGTGTGAAGGATGGGAAAGGCACCGAGGCGGCAGTGGTCCTGCTGGGGAGGAGGCGGTCTTGCCATAATGGACCAACACCTCCTTGGCGCCCGCCTTCCTCATGTCTCTACCTCATCACCTGCTTCTCACCCAAAGGGAGCAGCCCCAGCAGTGTCGGGCACAAGCTTGTTCACGTGTGTGTGCACTGGTGTGTACAACACAGAGGCCACAGCTACCAGTCAGCCTGTGCAGTTTCCAGACTGAGCAAGCCCTGGGCCTGGAGAGGAAAAGGGCGCAGACCCGGGTGAAGGAGACTGGAGGCCAGTCTCTTAACTGTCTCCCCCTCTCAATGCAGTTGGGAAGCCACAGCTCTGAACAAGAGCTCCTTTGCTCCCTCTCTCCCAAGCCTGCTGTCACCCCCAGCCTTTCCCATTCCCCTCCCAACAGTTTCCACTCTTTGGTCAGAACCCTTGGTGAAAGGCAATACCCACCAAGCTGCCCCTGCAAGGGAGGAGTTGCCCCGCCCTTTTCATAGCCTGTCCTAGTGAGCTTGTGGTCCACCGAGACCCTCAAGTCTGACTTCTTGGAGCAGAGATCCTGATCTCCTATCCTCCTTAGCTTCTGCAGTGGGGTATGACTGAGGATGTGAAGAAACCAAAGTCACCCCCTCCTTATCCCAGGTCCTTTAACACCCGTGGCTGACCAAAAGGCCAGAGCCCCACACCTGGGCATCAATGATCTTCTGTTTGGAGTCTACAGCTGCTTGCATCTCCGCGTGGTCCTTCTTCAGCTCCTCCTCCACTGACATCAACCTGTTACCAGAGACAAGGACAGTCAGGCTGGCATTTGAGGGTGCAAGTGAGGAGGTGAGTGCGGGGCCTGGTGGGAACAAACCATCACCCCTGCACAAAGGGGGCATACTAGGAGAGCCCCTCCTTGGGCCATAGACTCACCTCCCACACTGCCTGGGACACAGGCCCTCCAGCTGGCCCCCAACAACTGACACAGGCTGAGCCTGCTCCTTCCTTATGCTTCACCCGCCCCAGATTCTGTTCCCAAATCCCCAGAAGTCCCTGGGGCTGCCCCTTTCCTGGTGTTCTTCCAGGAGCCACAGGGGTGGGAGTGGGTGTTAAATCCTCACCACACCCCAGAGCCAGGCAGGTGGTGTAACATCATGAGACCTGTGGTTTGAGTGGGAAACAAAGGCCCTGCAAGGCTCTAGAGCTTTCTCCACCCACCCCGTATTCACTGAGGGCTGTGCCGGGCACTCGAGGTGGCAAGATGAAGTTGCAAGGCAGTAGGGACACAGGCAGGGAGAAGGTAACCACGCTCTGCAGTGGGCAGCTTGTGGGCCATGGGGACAGAGAACAGGAAGCGGCTGGCTGTCTTGGGGGTGGGGGTGGACGCACTGAACTGGACAGCTGAAGGACAAGCAAGGCCTGCCGCCTGGGTAATGAGCAGGGAAGACGCGAGGAACACGATCCACAGAAGCTCAGAACTGGGGCCAGCGGGGGCCTGTGGCCAGCTGCTCCTTCCCTGAGACCCTTTCAGGTCTCAGCCTGCTTGTCTCCCACGTACCTGTCAGTCACTGCTGATCACTCCCATCTTCCTACTCTCTTCCTTCAGCTTTCAGACCCCATGCTCTCTGGGTTTGCATCCTAGCTCCCAGGCCACTGCTCTGCAGAGGCCTTGTCCTGTCTGCCCCTAGGCTGTCAGGGCTCCACAGGGCTCTGCCTCAGCCGGCCACTCTTCCTGCTCTACACTCTTCTCAGAGGAGTTCACCTACTGCTTTATTTCCATCTCTACCCGCACAACTTCTCCAGAGCAGCAGAGCATCTAACCCCCAGGCGAGCACTTCGTCCATTTCACAGTAGATGCACAGGGAGGTCAACGGTGCTGGGGCAGGTACCACAGAGGGCTGTCGTGAAAAGCCAATGGGATCAGGGGTTGAGGAGGAAGGGGTGTGGGCTCACGCCGAGGGGAAGTTCCTTGTCATAGGTAGGTACGTCACTGAGCAAAGCCTGTGAGAAGCAGGAGTGGGAGGAATGGAGGAAGGGGGAGAGACTTCTGCTCCCAGCTATGGTGGAATAACAAACAGGCACTGGATTTAACCTCCTGCCCTAAGAAACAAACAAACTAGAAAACTGGACAAAATATACGAAAACAGAGGTTTCCAGACACTGAAAAGCAGGCAGTGCAGTACAGTGTGGCGACCCCTAAGAGAAGGGGACACACGAAGCGAGCCCTGCCCACTGCTGGCAGTGTCCCGGCAAGCAACGGAGGGAAGGGGTCACGTGGAGTCAAGGAGACCCTGGGAGGATGGAAGGGTGGGGGTGGGGGAGCCAAGCTTTTGGGGGGCAGTACCAGAGAGGAGAAAATGCAGAGAGGACTCTACCTATCTCCTGAGGGGTCCCCCTGGGGCTTTGGCTGAGGACCGCTCTGCACGCTTGTGAGAAAATAGCCGGGCTGCGGCAAGAGCCATCGGAAAGGAGTACACAAAACCACCCCAGGAATAGTTCATGATCCCTCTAGTCAGTGTGGAAAAGCACACTAACACAGGAGGCATCACATAGAATCCCCAGCAGGAAAGTCCTCAACAGTGAAGCCAGATGAGGCCTAGGCTAAAGCCTGTCCAGGACCCACCCCAACGAAGTTTAAAAGTGAGCCTCCAAAGAATCAAACTGATTCTTCCAACGTCACTGTGTCCCAGAACAAAGCCCCCAGATATTGAGAGGAACACAACACATCCAACAGCTACGTGAAAATCACAATGTCTGGCATCCAACCCCAAATCATCAAGCACGCAGAGAAGCAGGAAAACAAAACCAACACATGACCAGGAGGAAAAGCAATAAAAACAGACTCAGAAGATGTCAGATGATAGAATTAGTAGACGAGGACGTTAATACAACTGTTATAAATATATTCTACACGTTCAAGAAAACAGAGGAATGCGTGAGCATGATGAGAAAAGAAATGGATGGGATTTAAAGAAAACTGAAAACTCAGGGGCAAAAATACGACACCCGAAATGAAAAAATACTGGATAGGATTAACGGCAGATTAGACGCTTAAGAAGAAACGATTAGTGAACTTGAAGACACTGCAACAATCTAAAATAAAACACAGGAAAAAGTTGAAAAAAGGGCAACAGCAGAGCATCAGTAAGATGTGGGACAACGTAAAGCAGCCTAATGTATATGCAATTAAAGTCCCAGAAAACAGACTAAGGAGGCAGAACCCCACACCCACAGATCCAAGAGCTCAACAAACCCATGAAGAAAAATGTCAAGGCACTTCATAATCAAGTTGCTGGCAATGGATGATAAAGAAAAAAAACTGTAAATCAGCCAGAAGAAAAAGATACTATCAGTCCCTATGATCACAGCCTGGGTAAGGGAAAAATTAGGTCCACTGCTAGTTTTCGTAAATAGCCACACCACGCACATGCTTCTGCTAGAACAGCGGAGTTTTAGCATATTAGTTACACAGTTGCGATAGACACCATATGGCCTGCAAAGTCTAAACACTTATTATCTGCCCCTTTACAGAAGGTTTCTAACCCCTGCCCTAAAGTGACAACAAGATACAGCTAATATGCCAATAAAGGAGATAAAGTGGAATCATAAAAAATACTCAATCTAAAAGGGGGCAGGAAAAGGAACAAAACAGATGGTACAAATAGAAAACAAGTAGCAAGATAATAAGTTTAAATGTAATTATATTGACAATTACATTAAATGTAAATAGTCTAAACATTCCAATTAAAAGGCAGAAAACTGTCAGATTAGATAAAAAGCAAGAACAATAAGGTGTCTGTAACAGAAACTCACTTTATAATGAGGGACATAATTGGGTTAAAAGTATAAATAGGATGAAAAAGGATATACCAGGCTAATACCAATCAAAAGAAAGTTAGGGCAGCTGTCCTAATATCAAACAAAGTAGATTTCAGAGCAAGGAATATTACAAGGGATAAAGAAGATGATTTTATAATGATAAAGAGATCAGTTCGTCAACAGCACATAACTAGCCTAAATGTGTATGTGTCTAAGAATAGAGTTTCAGTGAACATAAAGTGAAAACCAACAGAAATGAAAAGAGAAACAGACAAATCTGTAATTAGGATTAGAAACTTCATTATCCTTTTCTCAATAATTGATAGAAAACAATTACAGAGAAAAACCAGTAAGGATATAGAAGACGTGAACAACACTGTCAACCAAATTGACTTAATTGACGTGTACAGCAGGGAGGAAATACCAGGCTTGGCTAGTAGAAATAAATGTGTTACTGAATTCAGGAGAGCGTGCACCTCTCAGATAATAGATAAGATGAGAATGTGGTTAAATGAAAAGTGTTTCCTTTCTTGGAACCACACACATGAGGTGAGCCAAGAGCAGAGCTGGAAGTTCAGTCAACAGGGGGTTTCTAGTCACCCTGGTTATAGGCCCTCTGCTCATGCTAACCATTTTATAAAGAAGAAGCCCACAGGTAAATCAAGCCAGCAATAATTAGAAGCAGAGAAACAGGTGGTCTGAACAGGAGGAATTAAGGAAGGATCTTTACAGTGGACAGAGCATGAGGCCAGGTGGGGGAACATCCCGGGTTACTGCACAGCTGCTGAATCTATCCTGATGACAGGCTCTTGTACCATGTGAACAAACAAGCTGTAAGTCCACACGGTCTCCTCTTGCACTTGGTAGTACTGTCATAAGGAAGTAAACTCCATGACTGGGACCCTGTGGGCTGGTCTGAATGCTACACCTTGACTATATTCCCTGCTTGCAGACATGCAGGAGGGTGTATCCACTTTATCCGTGGGCAGAGTGGAAGAGAGAAGGGAATCAACACAGAAATAAAGATAAGCCACCAATAAGGATGAGAGTCAGCATTACAGGCAATGGTCCACCTGGAAATCTTCCTGCATAACCCACAGGCACCTTAAAACTCAACATATCCAAAACTGGCATCATCTCTCTCCCTCCCCAACCAAACTGCTCTTCTTCCAAAGGTCCCCATCTCAGTAACTGGCACCATGACACACCTGGATGCTCTTGGTAAAAATCCGGGGCTCATTCTGGCTACTTCTTCCCTCCCACCTCCCACCCTCACCCACTGCATGTAACTGGCATTCATTCCTTTTCCTGCCCCGGAATGGACCCTCACTGTCTTTCCTGGCACCTGCATCCAGCTTCTGAACTCCCCTGTGAGCGCGCACCAAGAAAACATGACTCCCTACAGGGAGCCCAGGCCCTCTGCGGCTGCCTTGGCCAACCTCACATTCCGCCATCGACACACACTGCACCATGTGGGCCCCCCACACTCCGGGCTACCTCCCGCCTCCGGGCCTGTGCCACACTGTCCCCACCGCCTCGGACACTCTTCTCTCTCCACACTCGGCTCACCCTGTGGCTGAGCAGCCCCGCCCTCGGATCCGGGGCCTCCTGGAGGGCAGCGGACAGGTCCGCTCCTGTGTGTGCGTGGGGCCAGAAGCGGGCGCAGAGGAGGAAGAGGCGGCCGCGCTCACCTGCTGATGATGCCCTTCATCTGGATGTCCTTGTCCTCCTGCTGCCGTCGCAGCCGCTCCTCGCCCTCCTCCAGCCGCGCCTGATACTCCAGCACCAGCTTCTGGGTTGTCTCCTCCTGGCACTTGAACAGGGTCTCATACTCCTCCAGCTTCTTGGTGGAGATTCGCAACTTGTCCTGCAGCACTGCCAGGTCCTGCTAGGAGGGCGGCGTGCCACGGGCACAGCACCCAGGACAGAGAGCACAGCCTCATGAGCCCGGGGAAGGGGCACAGGATGGGAGGCAGCCCGGCTCGGAATGCCTCAGGGCCCATCACCATCTCAGTCCTCTTCCCACAGCGGGGAGACGCCCAGGGAGAGGGGGCCAGTGACACTCGATGCCTGGCCCCCATCCGGGGCTCTCCCACCCGCCAGCCCAACCTACAGCTATGAGGCAGATGAAGACTCGAACCAGACCTCAGAAGTAAAGGTCCTGAGCTTTTCATAATAAAAAAAAGTTATAAACCTCTTGGGTACATTAAGGAGATGACAGTGCTCTGAGAGACGGGGGCTCCACAGGAGGGGACGCTGAGACCCAGAAGGCAAATGACCCAATCACGTGAGGAGCACAGTGACCGATGGGGTGAGATCCTAGCCTCCCAGGCTCGATTTGACCCTGAAGCCGTGGCAAGTCGCATAGGAAGTCGGGGGAAGAGATTAAAGGCAGTGGTCTAGGGCTTTCTGGATCTGACTCAGCCCAGCACTCTCGGCCTTCAGGGAGGAGGAGGGATGTATAAAGTGGCAAGAGAAGCAGTGAGCTGGGAGGCTGTGCGAGTTGAACAGAGAGCGAGGCAGGGTCAACACCCGAATCAAGGGGCTGGAGAGGTTGGGCGCCGGGTACTGTGAGAATACAGGGAATGGGGAAGGCAGCAAGGGCCTCTCCTTGAGTCTCGGGCATCAGGAGCCAGTTCACTCATCAGCCAAGGACCGCCCAGAGGCCAGGAGGCAGCAAATGTAACTCCTGAAGCAAAGCTGGCCCCAGAGAGCCCAGCTCTGGAAGAAACAGCCCCATCCTAGGTCTCCTGCACGGCTGGTCCGAGTGGGGTCGGGAGGGCCCTCCCTGACAGAGGCAGGACCAGGTATTCAAGGAGCTCAAGGGAACTCCAGGATTTGCCTGCGAGGGTTAATGGCAAAGAAAGAGAGAAACAGCAGCTCACTGGGCCAAGGCACGAGGAAAGAGAACACTCCAGCTGCAGCCTGACCCTTGAAATCGTTCAGGCACTCCTTGTAATTCACAGATGGGAAGCAAGGTAGGTAGTCTCAGAAAAGCGCAGAGCCCGGCCCCAGACTCACGCAAGGAGCCTGGGGTGAAGCTGGCCCTCCTTGCTCCCCAGCCAAACTCTGGCTCTTGGAGCACTGTGCCCCATGTCCCCTGGTCCCGTTCACGCAATAATGGTGAAAGCAGGTGGATGCAGTGGACCAAGGGGATGGTGGAGGCGGCGGAATGCAGCATGGACGTGGACCTGACCCCAGGCCAGTGCGAGGGAGAGCGGACACCCCGCCCTGCGTGCCCTCGCCTGAGAGGCTGCTACAGGCTTTCCTGGGGCCGAGAGGGGCGAGGGTACCCACGGTGAGTGGGGGAAGTGGCTGCTGTTCTGGGGGGCCTTGCACTGGTCCTGTGTCAACCTGGGCTTTGGCCTCCAGGAGGAGATGGGAACCGGCCATGGATCCAGGGCAGCTGCCACAATAACTAAAAGAATTGTGGAGAACTGGAGCACCCCACTGCTCACCCAAATACTAGATGTACAATTGGGGGTGGGATCTGGATGTTTTAGGACCAATATTTTTCCCCTGGAAAGAAGAAAACATCTCGGTAGCAATCTGACATCACCCCTCCCTGGCTCTCTCTCCCAGACCCTGGTGGGGACGGGGACTGGGGGAAAGCCAGGCCGCGGGCAGGCACAATCCCAGAGCGGAGGGGCCTGGCCGGGGTGCCTCCCTGCTGTCTCCAGGACCCGTGCCTCTGCCTCTTCATGCGTGAGGCTCCCCCCAAGGGTCTCCATGCACCTCTTAGGCACCCCTGACCCCCCAGGTCCTGGATTCTCCTCAAGTCCCAGATGCTCAGAAGCTCGGCTGCCCAGTCACTTAGGGAAGGTGCCTCCTGGGGTCTGGATTCAATATGATTCCTGGGTGGGTCTCACATGCAGCCCATGTAGGAAACCTCAGGTTTAAGCTAAATCCTCCAAATTCCACTGACGGCTGTCCTCACGTGGGACCAGGGGTTGAGAGGGGACTGGCCACGTGCGGGAATTCAGGGCTCGAGGGGAGAGGATTCTGCCAGCCACCTCGGGGAGGCAGCCCGCCCTGCCCCGAACTGCCAGGGTCCAGCTTTACCTTTTCTGCTTGGCTGAGCTCTTCCTTACTCCTTAGCCTATCCCTGTGGGGGGGGTCTGGGCCCAGGCCCTCGTCTTCTAACAACTGCGCGTTCATGGTCAAGAGCCAGGCGGCCGTGCGGTCCAGGGCATTGGGGCTCACGGGTGAAGGGCCCTGCGATGAAACACAGCTGTGAGGGGCTGGAGGGAGGGGTGGGGGGTGGCCTTGGGTGAGCCCCAGGGACAAGTGGCTCAGAGGGAATCTTTAGCTGACTGGGCACGTCTGATGCAGCCCCCGGCCCAGGCAACTCCAGGTAGCCTGAAGCAGAGTCGAGAGCCCAGGTGGCCTCCTGAGCGTGGCTCTCTGCCGCCCAAGTGAGAGCGAGTGGACCTGGCCCACCAGGTCAGTGTCCGGCCCACAGTAAATCTGTTACCCTACTGCGTGTACAGCCCTGGAGGCCATCTCAGAGCAGGAGGCGGCCTGGGGGCCACGTCAACCCCTACCCTGGGTCGGGCTTTAACAGGCTTGGAACTGGAGATGGACGGACCCCTCCCCCTTCCTCCTTGACCCCAGCTGTCTCTGAGGAAACTGGCAGAGGGACCCCCGGGCCGCAGTGTCCCTGGTTCACAGGACGCAGGCAGGGGCCAGTGGGGCCGGGGGAGGGGCTGGGGGGGTGCACAGGCTGGTGGGATGGGGACGAGCGGGGCATCGTTCAGCATGGGATGGCAGCGGGTGCAGGTGGCGATGACACGGCCAGGAGGAGCAGCACAACACGGGTTCAGGCCGCCCCCCGGCGCCGGAGCCCGGCAGTACTGACCTGCTTGTGCACCGCACGAGGCTTCAGCTCGGGGCTGTCGCCCTTGGAGGAGGAGGACTGTTGCCGCAGCCGGGCTCCGGGGCCAGCCCAGTCGGGCGAGGCCGACGCCAGGGTCCCACTCGAGGGCCGCGGGTACTGCAGGGTGCTCAGCAGGGTGGGTGGCGTCCGGCCGCGGGGCGCGGGAGGCGGCGGCGGGGGTGGGGGCGGCGGCTGGTCGATCCTCCGCTGGGGGCCGGCGCTGTTCTGCCGCGGCCCCGGGGGCTGCCCACCCTTCTCAGTCAGCGACACCTGTCGCCGCGCCAGCTCCCCGGGGCGCCGCCCCAGCTCCTCGGCGGTGCTGCTGAAACTTCCCAGCTTGGCGGCAGCTGCCAGGTCCTCACTGTTGCTGTGGGAGCTCAAGGAGCTGTGGCCCTCGGAGCCAGAGTCGCCAAGGCCACGGGGAGACAGCGGCAGGCCGGCCGCCATCTGGTACACAGGGTTCTGGAAGGAGAGCGGCGCCAACAGCTGGGGCCGGCCCGGCGCGCCCTCCGAGGTGCCCGCTGTGCTCGGCGTCTGGCCTGCCCGCCGCACCGTGGCCAGCCCTGCCAGGCTCACTGGGGCCACCCGGGCCGGCCACCCGGCCACCAGCTGAACTGCAGGTGCCTGCCCGTCGACGGCGAGGGCGTCGGGGCCCGCCGGGGAGCCCGCCTCCCCGTCCAGCGTGCGGGCGTCCTGGAGGTCCACCATGGACAGGCTCTTGCCACCGTTGGCCATCTGAAGATCAGGCTCGTTGGCTTCCGAGTAACTCGAGCTGCGGGCAGGTGAGGGCTGGACCCCGGAGGACCTTGTGACAAAAAACAAGTCCTTGTTTTCGGGGGTTGGAGACGGTAACCGGGTGAAATCTATCAGACTGCAGGGAGACAAGCACACACAGGGAAAGAAGGGGGAAGAGAAGAACTGTGAATGCGGCCAAGGCGGGTCCCAACCAAAAGCCCCCGCCAACCTGCCGCCCACCCGGCGGCCTGAGCCAGGGTGGGGGGAAGGGGAGGGGAGAAGAGGGAAGGCAGGGGAGGGGAGGAGGTGTGGGGGTAGTGAGAGTGGGAGAGTCCCGGGGCCCAGTGGCGCAGCTGCAAAACCAAACCACAGCCCGGGCAGCTGACCCTGGCAGAAGCCACCACGAGGGCGAGGGGCTGATGGCTGCTCCAGCACGGAACCTCTGCACTAGGGACCCGCGCTCCCAGGGTCAGGCCAGGCGGCCTGGCAGGCCCTTTCCCTGCTCAGCTGCATCTTGGGACAGTAGGTTCTGGGGCCTGAAGTGTTCTGGAAAATCCCTCTGACTAAATCCAAACCCACGACGCAGTGGCTCTCTGCTATCCAAGGGTCCTGCACCGAGAACTAGGGCTTCAAAGCCACGGGGGCTCCCTCTGCCTCTTCCCTCTTGCTCCTAGTCACACTGGCAACTAGGTGGGGGCCTGTGCTGAGAGAAGCCTCCACCTGCAGCCTCCTGCTGCCACCCGTCTGACTGGCAGGCGGGGGCTGGCGCTTCCGGCAGAAGCAAGGAATCAGAGGAGGCTCCTCCGGGCGTGACTCAGGCGGGGAGGGCCTGCACCTGCCGTGGCAGGCCATACCCTCACCCCCATCCCGGACTCCCAGACTCTCCCTGGCCCCTCCCTGGAAGCCAGCTCCTTGGAAGGGGGCACAAAGCCAGGTGGGCTTTGGAGGGAAGAATACGGGGGGTGAGCAGGGCTCTGAGTGGGCTAGAGGCAGCAAGAACTTGGGGGTTCAACATGGGCTTAGAAAGGAGTTGGCTTAGCCTGGGATGGTGAGGAAGTGCCAAGTCCCAGGTGATGGGACTTAGGCAGGGCAGGTAGCGGCCACTCAGGGCCACAGCACTTGTGGGTCGAGAAGAAGTGGACAAGGGCAGCAGGTGGAGCCGGGAGAAACCCAGACCAGCCATGGGCCTGGGCCGTCCTTCCACACAGCCAGGTCAAGTCTCCTGAGAACCCATGTGCCCGGACACCTCTCGAGCCACCACTCGGCTAAGGTGTGTTCCCCACCTGAATCTCTGCTTTGCCTCACTTGGAAGATTGTATGAACGGCCCCTCAAGACTTGGAGGGACCCGAGAAGGGGCATCAAGGTCTCTGCATCTCCCGCCTCCCCCTGGGCCTCCAGTCCCTCGCACCACATCCCCAGGTCCTCGATCTCAACGCCCTCGTCTGCTAAAAGCCTGCTGCTGCCACCATTTCAGAACCAGAGAGCTCCCAACTCTGCTGCTCCGGCCTCATCCTCACTAGCGGGTCCAAGATGGCCCTGGTAGAGGAGGGGAGTGTACAACTGCGCCACAAATAGTTCACCGTAAACGCCAAGGTCCTCATTTTGATGTCATCACTCAGAGAACACTTTGCCTCCCCCTCCACTGTTGTTTTATTTACTGGACACTCGTCCCAGGGCTGGGGGCTCAGAGCAAGAGCTGGGCCTCAGCATCTCTCTAGTTTCCCAGGCTCCCAGTCTCTAAGCCTTACAGTCACCTGAGCTCCTCCTGAAAACACACACCCTGGAGCGTCACTTCTGGAGATTCTGATTCAGGTCCAGGAAATACCAGGAAACACATACAACCCAGTGATGTGGAAGTGTCTGGGACCAGTAATTGTTCTTCAACAAAAGATGGGTTGTCTTTCTCCAGGCCTTTGTCTGTGCTAGTCCCTCTGCCTAGAACGCCTTTTCTACCAATGGAGGTATTACTGTTTCCTAAGCTCCAAACTATAGCACTACCTCCTCCAAGAAGCCTTTCCTGATTTTTCCCAAACAGAACTTCACTACTTAGGGTCTGAAAAACACACCTGAGTCTCATTCAGCTTGTTTTATAAACACCAGCGTAGGTATCTTCCACCCCAAATGAGACTGCAGGTGGCTGCGCCTTGTCTGAACAGGCACCCCGCAACACCCAGCACGCCTGGCAGCTCTTACCCGGAGACGTCGTTCTCGATCGCCACCTTCTGCAGCCCCGCTGAGACGCTGCTGCTGCCCGAGCCGGGCGGAGAGGCCAAGTCGCTGGTCCCTGCAAGCTGCCCACTGCCTGGGGCACTCAGTGCAGTGTGCACGTCCCTCAGGATTCGAGGCAGAGGCCCCAGTTTGGATACGATGCTCTGCAAAAACACAGCAAGAGGCAGGTGTGACCCACTGGGGCTGCCTGTGGAGGCCAAGTGCACTGTAGCCACTGTGTTCAAAACTTCTAAGGAGCCAGTCAGAAATGCAGGCCCGCCCTCCCATGCAGATCAGATCCGGCAGGTCTGGGATGCGGTAAGGAGCCCAGAAATCGCAAATGACGTTTTTACCAGCTCCCCACATATTTCTGGGACAGGGTGCGAGGCCCACAGGGAGAAATGCTAACCTAGTCCAAGCCTTTCACCCCAGTCTGTCCTACCTCACTTCCCCCACAGAGAGGACAGGCCACACGGAATCCTGGACCTTCCCCACCTGAGAGGCTTGGCTCGGGGATGGCTCCCTCCCATGTCATCTACTCCACAGGGTGGGCTGGGCCCTGACCCACTCTGACACCTGAGCCCCAGGGGCAACGGCCCAGGCACCAGGCAGGCACCACCACACGCCCGTCAGGCAGACAGTGGCACCTGGGCTGGCTAAACCTCGCTATCCTGGTTTCGACCGATGGTGCTAAGCGTTCCGGGCTGGGGACAGGGGACTCTGCCTTCCCCTGGCTTATGCCCCAGCTTCCATCTAGGGCTTTGTGCAAAAAGAAAGTGTGAAAACTCGTGTAGTCAACAGAGAAGAGACGTGAGGGGCAAACAGCTCGACTTTCAATCCTGCTGCAACTTCTGTAGCTCCCGTCTGGTTGCGCGGACATGGAAGACGGTGGCAGGGCACAGGCGCTCAGTTAAGTGGTGGCCGTAGACTGAATGGTGTTTGGCAGCAGTGGAGGGAGAGAAGCCCTTGGCCCTCATTTCCATTTCTCCCTCCTGGGTCTCTCGGAGCCAAAGGGCAACGGACATAAAGGAGCAGAAATGACTGCAACAGCATGTTTGTAGTTAAAAGCTGGGCCTAATCTGAGCGTCCAGTAAACTAAATGGTGCAGTCACATGACAGGACAGTCTGTGCCATTAGAAAGGTCACAGTGGCGGTGTGGCATGTACTGTCGTAAAGAGATGCCGATGACGGAGGAGTGGGAAACTCACGTGGCGCTGCACGCAAAGTTCTCACTTTAACAAAAAGGGAAAGGACTTTGCCTAGTGTGTACTTAACATATGCACAGGTGTACCTAGAAGGCTACACACCAGAGCGCCCTGAGTGCTCACCCCTAGGGACGGGACAGGAGTAAGAAGGCCTTCCGGTCCTGGTTCAGCAGTAGCTACTTTTGTAAGACGGTCTCACAGAGCCCTGGAAAGCAGATGTTCTGGAAGCGGATCCTGGCAGGCCCAGCCCTTGCTGCCAAGAACCTGCTCACTGTGCGAGCTGGGGCTGCTTGGGACAGTGGAACCCAGGCCACGGTGGCTGCAGCAATGTCAGAGATGTCTAGGGAATAACCATTTCAACTGATGGCCAAAGGCAACTCTGGAAAGGTTTGCAACTTCCTGCCTGACATGTGGAGGTGTGGCATCTTCAGTCTTCTTTTTCATATCGGTGGCCTTAAAACCCAGAGCAAGGACGTTTTCAGAGAAGCAGCTAACCCTGATCACACTTTTCGGAGGCAGGGAGCACACCCTCAGCAGTGGACTCCATCCACTCAACGCCACAGCCAAAGCCCCAGTACACAGAGCGGCCTCCCCTGGGCAGGGGCTGCCGCGTGAGCACGGCGCTCCCCACCGAGGAAGTGGGCCCCGAGATCCCCAGCGCTTACAGGGCCTGGGCTGGACCCTCGGGCTCCGGCGCCCGGCAGGGCCGCTGATCCGCACCACACAGGCGAACCCTCTGAGCCCCTGGCTACTCTGGGAGCTGGAGCGGCCTGAAGCAGCTCTGGTGGCCTTCGGCCCGCCCTCCGCCCATTGCGGCCCGGTGCACAGGCACCTGCTCCAGCTGGCTGACGGCCTCCCAGAGCAGCGAGTGCAGGCTGGAGAGCTCGCGGCCCAGGTCGATGTAGCCCTCGAAGCCGGCCGTGTTGGAGACGGTCTCGGGGTTGGAGATCTCCAGCAGGAAGCGCTGCATGCTGGTCCACTCGTGCTCCAGGAACTGGTTCATGAACGACATGTACTCCTCCTTGCTGCCAAACCTGGAGCCGAGCAGACGGGGTGAGTGCCCCGGGCCCCGCCCAGGAGCCCCCCTTCGCCACTTACTCCCCAGCCAGCCAATCCACTCTGGCTCAGGGCCCTCATGGCTAAGGCTAGAGACCCTTTCTGGGCCTTTTCTCACAGGACCTGGAAGGTTCCGTGGCCCTCACTCCCCATTCACTGGCAGTCACAATCTCCTTCCTCTTTTCCCCCAAATGGCAATGGCCTGGTGCGTAGACGACTCTCAATCCATGCCCGGCCAGGTCTCTCTGCTGAGCTTTCAGACACATTCCGCCACGGGCACCTCCCCCTTCGTCCTCAGCTTGGCCAGGTCTGCGGTCATCTCCGGCACCCCGAACCTGCGCCCTCCTCTGGGGCTCCCTGCCCCAAGGGGAGACGCCACCACCCAGCAGAGAGCTGCACGAGGAGCTCGGCCGTGGTCAGCTCCCCCCGTGCCTCCCCCACCACTGGCCAGGCTGCTGACCTTACCTTCTAGTCACCCCGTGACCTCGCAGCAGTGCCTCCAGCATCGCCACCTCCCGGGCCCAATACTTGCATCCCTTTGCTGTTACCAGAAGCATAATTTTGCTCTCCTCCCAGCCTCTCGCCTGCCAGTCCCGCCCCCTCCACCCCCTGGTCCCACTGCAGTCAGGCTGAACTCTGCAGGACTCTCACCCTCTCCCTCGCTCCAAGGCCCTGCCTGGCCTTCAAAAGCCCCTGCTTTCCTCTTGGGTCTCATCTCCCACCTCCCCCAGCCTGGCACTTGCTGATTCAGGGACTGCACAGTGCCTGGTCCCTCCCGGGCCTGTCTGCCCCTGCTGCCCTTCGTCCTGACACGCGGGTGGGGGAGAACGTCTTCTAGGAAGCCTCCCTCTCTCCTCTCCCAAGAAGCTCAGGGCCCTCCTGCGAGCCCGTGTGCCCACGTCCACCCGCTCTCTCCCCTGCTGTAGGGCTGTCTCCCGGAGGGCAGGCCGGGCCCAGAGGAGGCCCAGAGGGGGGCTCCATCCACACCTCCTGAGAGCGCCTTGATGACCCAGCCCTTCCGTTTCCACCCACTCCCTCTAAGGTACCGCAAGAACACTGAAGTGCTTCACTAGCAAAGACGTCCTTGGCAGCCTTAGATAAGGACAATCTGAAACAAGCCGGGTGCCCAACCGCAGGGGTCGGCTTCAGGAGACACAGGCCCTTGTCCCTCAAAGGCATATTAGTCACTCATTTCAAAACCAAGCGTATGAATGGTAAGTACATAGGAGAATCCTTATGATAAAATGTTCATTCAAAGAAGCAGAAGGGGGCTTCCCTGGTGGCGCAGTGGTTGAGAGTCCGCCTGCCGATGCGGGGGACACGGGTTCGTGCCCCGGTCCGGGAAGATCCCACATGCCGTGGAGCGGCTGGGCCCGTGAGCCATGGCCGCTGAGCCTGCGCGTCCGGAGCCTGTGCTCCGCAACGGGAGAGGCCACGACAGTGAGAGGCCCGCGTACCGCCAAAAAAAAAAAAAAAGCAGCAGAAAGAAAAAATACCTTGTTTTCTCCCCTTTGAAAATTACACGGAAACATACCACAGCGGCATGTACGTTCAGTAGGGGAGCTGGGGTGCGGGGAAGGACTGAGGACAGCAGGGACTGGCCTGCCGCGCGGCCCAGCTCTGGGGCGGACCCTGCCGTCGGGGGACGTGGCACTCACTTGGCGAAGTTGGCCAGGTTCTGGGTGACCTTGGCGATGAGGGTGAGTGTGCGGGCGGTGCGGTCATCGGGGTACTCCTGCAGCAGGTTGAAGAGGGAGGGCGACATGATGGCCGGGCAGAGGAAGCGCAGGAACAGGGAGGCACTGATGAGCCGCTCGCTGATGTCCGGCCGGCCGCGGTTGCTGCACTCTTGCCGCCATGAGGCGAACACCTCCTTCAGCTCCCGCGGGAAGACACTGTGCCGGGACACATGAGGCGGGGCTGGCCGTCAGGCAGGGCGCCGGGACCAGAGGGGGCAGAGCAGGGACCCGGTTCTGGGTCCAATGGAACCGAGTTCCAGCCCTGCTCCACCATGAGGGCTGTGTGAGCCGGCACAGGGAGAGCACAGGAGCAGGGCCGCCCGGGCCGCAGTCAGGTGGATCTCTCCCCGAGGGGCTGAGTGGGGTGGGACACAGGCACGGGGGAGCCGGCAGTGAGGGCCAGCTCCCAGAGGGCTTCACCCCCTCCCCACACGGCAGGCATCAGGGTCTGGGGGGGTGAGGAAAACACAGTAGGAACAGAGCACCACTCCTTGGTTCCCATCCCTGCCTTTTGAGACTTACTCCCTTCACTCAGATAACGTTACAGAGTTAGAGGTTTTCAGCAGAGCTCGGGGTGATCAAGAAGATGGCTGGATCCTAACCACAGGGTGAGGACACGGCTCCCTACTTTCTCAGTGGGGAGGCAAATGGAGGCAGTGGCCTCCCCAGGCGGACCCGGTGAGTGTAGGCCGCGTTCCCGGCACCCGGCTGGGGGCTATCTCCTCTGGGCGTCCCCCCACCCCGCCACAGGGAGGCCCCACCAGGCCAAGCTTTAAGTGGCCTTCCTATCTTTTCACCCTAGAAGATGGGCGCTCCCTGAAGCCAGAGTCCGCCTGGCTCTGTCACTAGCTCAGGGCGCTCTGACCCAGGGCCTGGCCCTCCCTGGGCTTCGGTGTCCTCGCTCTCGCACTAACAACAAGGCCTGCGCTGCCGAGCTCACAGAGCCATCTTAAGGCTGGGCCCCCCAACACTCTAAGAGGCTTCGATCAGCTTGAAGAGCTTCTGCCCAACAAGCCCAGCACCCAGCCCGGCAGGCTCTGGCAGTGAATGTGGCTGAACCAACAAGGACGTGGCTAGAGAGGAAGTGAGGGCAGGTGACCTTTAGTCCTGGCCTCTGAGGTACCAGGCACAGGACTGGGCAGGGGGCAGGCGCTGAATGATAACATCTATCAACAGCCTTGTTCAGAACTGAGAGGTGCCTCTGGGCCTCTACAAACGCCAGAAAGAGGAAACAGAAAATCACTGTCCGTGGATATGTTTCCCTGTGTCCCACACCCGGTCCGCCCTGGGAACAGGGGGGAAGAGGGTGAAAACACAGCCTAGCCCAAGGGTGGGAAGTGTGTTCCAGAGCGCAGGCTCTCTGGCTGCCCCTCTTCCCCTGGTGCCAGGGTTCATTTTCAGCTCAGCCCAAGAGGCCAGGCTGGCCCCAGGTGAGCACCCTGTGTAGCCCTGGGCCAGAGGGCCCTGGGCCGGAGGCGCCCACCCCACTGGCTCTGGCCACTCCCTCTGCCCAGATCCAAGGCTGTCGCTCACCTAGCAGGCCCGCCTCTGCCTGTCCTTCGGGAGCAGCAAAACATTCCCGGGCCCTCCTGTATGCCCAGGCCCGAGCTGGTGAATCTGCCTGCCCCCAGGGCGCTCAGGGTGTGTGCAGGAAACGGACTTGGACACAGGCACAATCAGGCACTCTGATGGGAGCGGGGCTGTGAGCGAGGGTGCCCAGGAGAGGGGAGCCGACCATATGCAGTGACCTGAAGGAGGGCTGCAGAGGGGAGCCAGATACAGGCCAGGCCGGGAAAGAACATAATCAAAGAAAGGAGGGAGGTATGGCTGGGGGTCAGGGGGTGGGAATGGGGTCAGGAGAGCGACCTGGATGGGGACGGGATGCAGGTCCTGAGCTGCAGCAGTGACCGAGGAGGAAACCTTGGCAGCTCCTCCAGTGTGAAAATATACCCACTGCTTGGGGCTGGCGGCATGGTCCCCTGGACAGTGACGAGGCTGTACTCGGCACCAGGTCAGCCGCCACCAGACATACATGCCTGGGACGCTAGCCTTGTAGCCAGGCTAGCACTCCTCAGTGGCCCCGGGACTGATTCTGGCCCTGACCGCGGTCCTGTATGAGCGGCCGGCTCAGCACACCTCTGCTCCTTTCTGGGGCTGCCAGGAGCCCGCAGACCTCTGTCCCAGTTAAGGCCCCATCCACCTCCTTTGTCCTCTACAGCCCCAGCAGGAGGCCCACACCCGGTGTCCAGGCACCCACACAGGCCCCTGCTGGGCCTGATCACAAGCCTGTGAAGGTGAGCACCAGCTCCTACGGACAGGTGAGGAGTCCCAGGTGAAGCCATCCACCCACCCCAGGTGGGTGCCCGAGCAGGGCCTTGTCAGTCTGGCTCCCTGGGCAGCCCCAGCACCTACAACAGCACCAGCTGGTGCCCACTGTTAAGCATGTGCGATGGACTGCCAGGTCCAGTCCTCACCACTGCACAAACCACGTCCTGCATGTATACTCTGGAACACTGCTTACGTCTGACAGCCCAGAAAGGACCAGGACGGGGGCCTGGCAGCCCAGCGAGACTCAGCGGGGTCAGGCAGAGGGTGGCTTCCAATCCCAGAGCCCCACTCTGAAGCCGTGTGAGGTGCGGGCGTGTCCCCTCTCCTCTCCTTATTAAACCTCAGCTCTCCCGTTCGTGAGTCGGGGATGATGGAGGAGAGCCCCTCACAGAGCTGTCCGGAGGGAACAAAGCCCAGCACTCTGTAGGCACCTGCACAGAAGGACACAGAAGGACAGGGGAGACGCAGGGGTGGGGGGCCCTGGGCAGCTGAGGCCGAGAAGGGCGCGGAGGCAGCACTGACCAGTAGGAGTTGATGATCTTGCAGAAGGCCAGCTCGCAGCACATCTTGAGGTTGCCCTGGTGCTCGGGGAGGTCAGCGGCTGAGCACTTGCTCGGGTCCACTTCACAGTTCTCATCCGACTCATACAGCGCTTTGATGAACTCCCCTGCGGCCAGAGGGCAGGAGGGGGCAGTGAGGACCTGGCGAGCTTGCCCTGCCTCTGCCCTCTGCCCCCGGCCGGCCCACACACCCTACCCAGTGCGTCCTGCAGGTACTTCTGGCCCACCAGCTTGAGGTACTCCTCGATGGCCTTGGTGGCCAGCGTGTTCTCCCGGAAGATGAGGTGCTCGTCTCCACAGCGGTCCACCTCCGACATCATCAGGTCTGTCAGGAAGTCCTGTGGAGCCAGGTGAGGAGAGTGGACCTGAGCAGACTCGGCAGGTAGGGCCCTAGGGTTCCAGACCCACACCCTAGCCAGGAGCCCCTGCTCCTCGAGGCTGCTCCATTGGCAAGCTACTGGTACCCACTGGTGGGGGCTGCCTGGGAGTGAGGGCAGGGCAGCCTGATGAGGGGAGACGTCTAGCCACGGCCACATCAGAGCTGGGTACCGGATCAGGGATGCAAGAGCATGCTGCATGGAGCCATGGGCCCCCGTATCACAGCCGGGCCCACGGAACTCAAATCCCTGCTCAGCCCTGCCCAGGTCTGGTGGGGTGACGGTAGCAGAACTCCCCCGCCCAGTGCCACCCGTGTCGAAGAGGACAGATGGGCTGCCCTCTGCCCCTCGCACAAGCAGCTGCCACTGTCCACCCAGTACTCTGATGGGGTCTCCCACACCAGACATGGGCTCGTTCTGCGTAGCCTCACAGGCAAGGATGAGAGAGAGGCAGAGGCAGTCCGGCTGCCCTGGAAGGCAGTGAGCCAGTGCTCAGATGGAGAGAGCACCGACCTCGGCCTGGGCGGGAAGGCGGCCCACCAGCCTCTCAGCCCCAGGCACAGCTTCACGGGCAGACCCCAGGAGGGAGCCTGAGCCCACGCCTTCCCTCCTGACTGCAGGGAGGCTGCACGATGAACCTGCTGCATCACCCAGGTGGAAACTCCTCCCTGGAGCCTGCGCCTCCTCACGCCCACGGCCAGCCTTGTGACTTGGGGGATGGGGGGGAGGACAGGCAGGAGGCAGGAAGTCGGAGACCCGGAGGAGGGTGACAGTCGGGCCAGGGGCCGCCCTGCACAGAGGCTGCACTGGCCAGTGCGGGCCAGGGCTTCTGGAGCTCTGGAAATTCCTCACTCCGATGGGCACAACTCTGGGCCCCTCTGAAATCACAAGTGTCCCTTGAAATACAGAACCGAACTCCGGGTCCCGGAGACCTGGCTGGCTGGCCAATGGAGAGACAGGAGGGGCTGGCGGGAAGTGGCAGTTGGCCTCTCCGGGGACCACACAGCCTGAGGACCCCTTCCTGACCACAGGTGGCCTCCAGGGCCCCCTCTCTGAGCACACGACAGCAGAGGTAAGTACTGTGTGTACTGCCCTGCTCTTGCCCACAGGGCTTCCGGAACTCCCGGGGCAGGCGCGAGGCCCAGGTGGGGAAGAGGAGGGGCTCTGCTAAGAGCTAGGGCCCGACAAGGGGGAAGAGGCCCAGAACAGGACAGGGACCTGTCCAAGGCCACACAGCTACCTGGGCCACACTGGGCCCGAGTCTCTTGTTTCCAGGCCCTGTTCCTCCCCTCGCACTGAGGGGAGGGGGGACGGCAAGGAGAACGTGCCAGGTGCCCCCTCACATAGCCCTCCCCCGGGACTGCAGGGCCCTCGTCACGTGCTCTCGAGAGACATCGCACCCATCAGTGCCCAAGTGGTCAGAGTTCGGACAAACGTCACGCCAGCAGCCCGAGTTACTTCCTATCCTTCCACCTACTGCTCTCCCCACCTAAGGGCCCACTGGGAGGCTGCAGCCCTGGCTTCCCCCTCCTTCCACAATAAGCAAACTGATTCTTCTGTCTCAGCTGTGAGTATGAGAGCAAAGGTCCCTTCAGATCGGAGTCAGACTCCCAGGCCAGCCCAGCCCTTGGGGGCCACGTACTGGAAGAACAGACACAGAGACAGAGAGGACGCTGCTCCAGCCCCTGCTGCCTCCCTGGAACTCCCTCTGGAGGCACGGCTTCCATTCACTTAGTTTCTAGCCCCCTTCCCACTGCTAAGCAAGAAATTAAGAGACGGTCCCACATGCAGCCTTGCCCAGGCAGGTCGGAGGCTGGGGGCAGGGGAAGGTGGTCCAACAACGTGGAGGAACCGAGTGCTGGACCCCACGGGGCCCATGCCGGGAAAGCGCCCCTCCCTGTGCCTGCGTTGGTCCCACACCATGAGCCCAACAGGCAGGGGCTCTGAAGGGCCCGAAGGAGGCCAGGGCCTTCCGGGAACAGACAGAGGATAAGGGCCCCAATGGAGCACGTGCCCTGGGCTCTGCCTGCGGACCTGAGGTCCGGCCCCGCCCGTGTCTTCCCCAAGCCCAGGCTGAGGGCTCAGGACCTTGACCAGGGCAGTCCCTCACCCCCACCACAGGCCGCAAGCCACACCACGTCCAGAGGGCAGAGGCCCAGCTCCTGGGGCCAGCACACAAGGCCTCTGCAGCGTGGATGGACCCCACGTCCAGCCCTTCTCCACTGCATCCAAGGGAGGGGGCAGGGTGGAGAGGGGGAGGTGTGCCCTCGAGGCCCACAGAACCACACTCCACTGCGATGGGCAGGTAGGCGTGTGGAGCCTTCCAGAAGGAGCCTACCTGTCTCCAAAGCCAGGTGGGTGGGGCTGAGGTGTGGCCTGGCAGGGAGAGGCAGGTGAAAGGCCGGGAGAGGGGCCCCGCCCCGGCCCTGAAGTAGGGCCTGCTGGAGGGCTTTAGATGAGCTCTGCTCCTGGAGACTCTGGAGCTGGGGACGGCTGTAGCTGTGGCAGGCTGCCCGTCAAACAGACGGCTGCAATAGTGACTGTGTCCCATGTGTGTGAATTGGGAGTGAGGGGGGAGTCTGGGGCTCGGACAGCGGCCTGCACCCTGGCGGTCACCTGTTGGGATGTGTCCCAAACTCAACACCTCACTGGACGTGTGTGTCTGGGTCGCTGGGACCTGTGTGCCGGCAGAGGTGGGCCTCGTGGCCTGCTCGCCTCGAGCCTCAGGGAGGGGCCAGCCCTCTGGGGCAGTGGGTTAAGTCCCTAAACCCATTTCCTCACTGCAAGGTGTGCTCCGGTCCAGGGGCTCCATACCCGCCTCTGTGATCAGCTCCAACCACGGCGAAGGAGCACGAAGTCCCCACCCTCCACGATGCATCTCTTGGGTTTCAGAAACTCACCTGGCTGTGACCAGTGCCTCCACCAGAGCTGAAATCCACGACGTGGACATGGGGACCGGTAGGTAATCCAGCACGTCACCCAGCCTCCCACGGGGCAACATGAGGTGGGGTCCCGCCTGAGGCCCACACACCTACCTTCACCTTGCCCGTGCTCTGCAGGATGTGCACCAGGGCCGATGCCATCTCCTCCTTGGTCTTGGCGCTGAGGATGGGCTCGAGGGCGGCACAGAGCCCCAGGTAGTGGTTGGTGATGTGCTCGGCAAACTCCTTGTACATCTCCATGGGCAGGATGGTGATGGTCTGGTAGCGCGCCTTGATGCGGATCATGGGCCCGGGGCCCTTGCCGCTCTTGGGGTTGGGCGTCACCACCGGGTACCACTTCTCCACGAACTGCCGGCCGGCCACGGAGGCGGCGGGCAGGCTCACCAGGCCCAGGTAGCTGTTGCGTTCCTTCTTCTTCTTCTTGTCTGTCTCGCGGTACAGGTGGACGGTGACGGTGCGCAGGGGCGGCAGGTTGTGGAACTCGAAGTGCTCGCCCCAAAAGACGTTGTCAGTCTTGAGCTTGCCCGTGGTGCGTGCGTACAGCACGTCGTCCAGGCACAGCTCGCACAGGTACTTCTTCTTGGCAGGCAGGTCCTTGGCCTCGATCACCCACAGCTTCAGGATGTGCTCCACGCGCCGGCTGTTGTCCTGCGCACACGCACAGGGGGGCCGCGGTGACTGGGGGCCCAGCCGCCTGCCCATCGCCCAGCCCGTAGCGGGGAAGAGCTCTTGGAGCCTGGAGGGACCGGGCCCCGGGCGAGGGACAGCTCTGGAGTCTGACGGCTGTGCAGCTATGGGGCTGGATCTCTGCTCTACCTCACCCTAGCTCACTGACTGTGGGCAAGTGACCATCTAAGCCTCAACTCCCTTTTTTTTATTCCCTTGGGAATTAAAACCGAGTACAGAGCAGGTAAGAGGCTGGCACGACGCCTGGCACACGACAGCCGTTTACTGGCTCCCCTGCAGTTTGCTGGTCTGCAAAGTCACTTAGAGGTAAGACCATCACTAAGGCCCTTCCTTAGTAATGTCATGGCGACCAGGACTCAGCCCAGGCCACGCTGGCCAGGGAGGCAGACACAGAACCAAGTGATGACAGTCGGGGTCCCAGGAACCTTCTGGGAGAAGCCTGGGGGCAGTAGGAACACAGGAGGGCACCAGCCTGGGCCGGCGGCGCTCGCCTGGAGGAGGGAACAGAAAGCGAAGCTGGACTCGAAGGGATGAGCAGGATTCGGCCGGGGGGGAGAGGGTCAAGAGCTCCAGGCAGATGGACACCAGCACCCAAAACCCCAGTGCTCAGTTCTCTGGCCCAGCGTCTTCAGTGTGCAGCTTCGAAGGCTGAGGCCCCCAGCACGAGTCAGCCTCTTTCAGAGCCCAGCACTACGGCCCGCTCGGGCCCTGCCTGCACGCAGGCTGCCTGCACCCCCAAGCCCAGGCCACACCAGAGACCCCTCCGTCTGCTCCCTCACGTCGGCGTCTGTGCTCTGCTCTGAGTCTAGCCTCCACCCCCCGTGCTCTGGGGACAGCGGACACAGGCCCACCTTGTTGGGATGCACCGCTCGCCGCAGGTTCTCCATCCACTTGTCCCGCTCGGCCGCTGACCGGCAGGAGAAGCACTTGCTTCCTGACGACGTCGTCACCTGTGGGGGACGGGCAGGACAGCGTCACGGGGAGGGGAAGGCAGCAAGGAGGCGTGATGGAGGACCTCCAGGACTTGGGGGAGTTTGGCTGCCGGGTCTGACCGCACCCCAGCCCCAGGCAGGAGGCAGAACAACGACCCCCATATTTCACATTTGCGGGTGGTGCACCGAGACCTGGGGTCCCAGAGCAAGACAGTGACAGGAGGGTGGCCCAGCCCCGTGCCAGCTGGTGCCTGGTCCTGGCTCCTCACCCCTGCCTCAGTGCCCTCTGACCACAGGACAGCATCTTTCTGAGTCCAACCTCATTCTCCTGGAGATGGTGGGAGGCAGAGGGCACGGGCCCCCGCACGAGTCAGAGAGCAAGGCTTCACCCAAGTCTCCCTCTAGCGGTGGAGCCACAGGCACCTAGCAGACAACCACGGGTTGGCACGAGGGTCACCTTGGTCCTCAGCGGACACCTGCTGGTGATGCTTCTCTTGCCAAGTGACAGTGACAGCAATGGCAGTCACAGAAGGCTAACCTACTTGGGGCCAGACTAGAGCACTGAGAACTGGGCTGTCTGGGTGTGCTGGGCCCTGGGGTCCTGCCTGGAACCCTTACCCTCCCCTCCCTGTCTGACTTGCCCACCTTCTGGTCTCCTCCGGGTGAGCAAGCCCAGCCCAAGCTGTTCCTGCCCTGTTCCCGCTGTCCCCGGCACGCCGAGGTCTCCACCAGGGAACCAGACGCCTTATCTAGCCATTCACGGGCCTGCAGAAGCCACAGCACCCCCTGCTGTGGACCAGTGGGCAGGCACCATCTTCAGCCCGCCCCAGAGAGAAGTCAGAGGCCAGAAGGAGCCCAGCTGGGCCAGGAGTCCCGAACCAGAAACGGCACCCAGTGGGCACAGGGCTAGGGCAGATGCCAGGCACCACCCTCCTCTTCCCCTGGAGCTGGGGGTGCCGGGAGGTTGCCCTATTAGTCCCAGGGTCGTGCCTCTGTCAGAAAGCTCTCCTAATTATGCAAGACTGTTGGGGGTGGGAGAAACAGTCCCAGAAACAGAGGTGGGAAGAGAACATGAATAATTAGAAAAGCAATTAGGAACTCCCAGCAACACCTGCGACATTAGTTACCCTGGCTGTGGCTTGGCCTCGGGCTTGTAGGGTGACCTTTGACATCGTCTTGCCCTCACTGGGCCTCAGATTCCCCATCTACAGGGAAGCACTGGACAGGTGATCCTCGGTAACAGCCCTGTCAGGTTGGGTGGCTGACCCTCTGCTCTCAAACCTTGGGTCACAGAACGCCGGGGCAGGAAAGATTCTGGCTTTCACCACGCAGAGGCAGGGACAGGGCCAGAAAAGGGGGCACTCCCCACTGCCCTACAATGCACTGGAGTGGTTTTGCAGGAGGGGTGAGCAGGCCTCGAGACCAGCTCTGGGGCTTGAGCCATTCCACATACGCCTTGAACTCCCTCCCACCCACTTGGACCTCTTGCACTTCCCAGCATGGGGGACAGTGCTGGTCTGTCTCCAAGGAGGCCACAGAGCAGGAATGAAGCCCCCGTCTCCCAGCTCCACTTGGTCTCTTAGGAGGCAAAAGCTATGACAGATTCTGGCAGCTGTCCCAAAGAGCCTGGCCCCTGCGGAGGCCATGTAGCACTCTAGGCGGGCGTCTGGAGGAGACCTGGCCTCGCGGGAAGAGGACACCAGTACCCGCCCCGCCCCTGCGGCAGGACCCACCTCGAAGCAGTAGTCCTGGCCCAGGATGCTGCTGTGCACTGGCTTGATGACCACCTCCTCCTCCATGCTGAGGTCCAGCGCCTCCACCGCGCTGCTAGGGCTGAGCAGGGACTCGTGCGAGCGAGACTCCTTCAGCCTCGGCATCAGATGGGACCTGGGGGGAGGGCAGCAGGGTGCGTCAGGTCAGGCCTGCCCTGTCCCCTCCCTCCCCTTCTCCTCCAGGAAGCCCGCCCAGAACCCCCCATTTGGAGGCAATCACTCCCCTCAACTCCCACGGTCCTTTCTGTCGTAAGGTAGAGTTGGGGGGAGGCGACATCATGGGGCTGGAGTCACGGAGACCAGCCAGTCCCTTTGCCCCAAGGCAGGACTCTGGGTAAAGGGCTCAGCCCCTAAGTGGCGGGGGGCGGGGGGGGGTGGCCGGGGGTGCTGGCAGGGAGGTAAGGAGTTGAAAGTCAGCACTGGGTGCAGGGTAGGGCTGGACCTGGCTTCTCAGCAGCCCGAGACCCACAGAGAAGAGCGGACCCGGCCCAGGCAGCCTTCTGGGGGTCTGGTGCCTTCCCCATCCCATCCCCTCCCCTCTGCTCCAGTCCCCATCCAAAACAGAAGCAGTTGCCCTGTTCCAACATTTGTCCAGGACATCACTGCCGACAGAACCCTTTCTCGTACACCATCCCACTCCGTCCACTGGCCCCAGGCAATGCAGGAGCACCGGGAACTCTGCTGCTCCTTTCTTACAGACCGTGAGGCTCAAAACAGAAAGGATGCAGCCATCTCTGCACGGTGCCCAAGAGCTGAGACTCAGACAGGGTCCACAGGCTGGGGTTCGGGGGTCAGGCCAGAGTCAGTGGGTCCAGCACAGGCACAAAGAGCACAGGTAGTTCACTCCACCTGATGCCCAAATGGAACCTGGACCCACTGCTCACCTACCACGTGGCCCTAGACAAGTCACTTCCCCTCTCTGAGCCTCAGTTTCCTCGGCACTTCACGTGGAAAGCGCCTTAGATGGCATCTGCTCCGGTGCTCGATAGAGTCCACCTTGGAAAGGCAAACGTCCCTTTCCAGAGTCAACAGGACACACAGCAATGCCCCACTGGGCCCCCTCCCACAGCCGGGGCACAGGAAAAGCCAGAGGACCAGCCAGGCTTGCAAAGACCACCCCGGGAGAGGCTGGGCAGGCCTCGCCCCTACTCATGTCCGCAGTCCAAACCCTGGCCTTAGCTCACCCAGACCTCCTTCCCCCAACACCCTCTGCCTTTCAGCTCCTGGCCTCCGGGTCCAAGGCTCAGGCCATCATCTCTCCCTGTCTCGCCGAAGACCCTCTCTCAGGTCAGTGAGGCCTGGCAGGACCACCACAGACCTCCCTGTAGGGCACATACACCCCGTAACCCATTTCCATAACCACCTGTGGTAAGAGGGCCTGAGGTCCACCATGTGTGGACCCAGGAATCCAGAGATGAGCCGAACAGACCCTGCCCAGAGGGCTTCACAGGCTGACAGAGACCACCCTCTAGCCCCTATACTTCTCCATGGCAACAGCCCTCCCTGACACGCTGTCCTGTGCTAGGCACTGCATGGGAATCAGGGCTGCAACTGGGACCCCAGCTCTTGGGGACCTCACAGCCCAACCCAAGAGACCCAGTCGGGCTCCCCCAGCTGCTCCCCCATGCCCAGCACGAAGCTGGCGCAGAGCAGGGCTCAGATCCCTGGAGCCGAGTCAATGCCCTCAGGCAGGACTCCTGAAAGCTCCCAGGGGAGCAGACCAGAGGGAAGCTGTGAGGCAGGCTAAAGTCAGGTTAGAACCCAGCCAAACCTCGCCAGGACGCATTCGAGGCCCAAGGCCACTGGCACGCACAGCTGTGGTGCCTCTGCTCCTCCAGAACCCTCTCTGGGAGACCACACCGCACACACGCACTGCTGCGGCCACGCCAGGTGCTGACAGCCTTCTCCCGGTGACAAACCCTCCACGTCCTGCTCGAACGGCCCAGCCTCCTTCCCATCACGGCACTGACCAATGTGGTGGCTGGGTCTGCCATCCACCTTGTTGAGATTCCACCCTGGGCCTCCCTCCATACCTCAGTACAAGGGACGCCCTACCTCAGTTGCCAGGGAAATCACCCACCTCGGAAGGGCTGAGACCCAGAGCCCCCAGGCCCGCTGTCCAGGGCTGAAAACCCAGCCCACCGATCAAGATCAGGCTGCTTTCTGGCCCAGCCCGGAAAGCCCTGCCAGGTAAGATGCTGGGAGCTGGGGCGGGTGGAGCGGGCACCCAGGAAGTATTCTACATAGGGAGGAGCTGGCAGGCTGCGGCACCGCCTCCTGCCTGGGGCACCTGAACGAGCCGGCGGGGGAGAGGAGAGAGAGGCACACTCAGCAGACAGGGCCTGCCCAGGGAGACCCGAGGGGGCCTTCGTTCTACAGCCCAGGAGCCCAGCGGGCCCAGGCCAGACCCCAAAGCAGCCAAACCCCGGAACCTGTGGCTGCAGAACCCTCCTCTTCCTTCCCCACCATCCTGCCCCACAAGCAGGCCCCAACTGGCCCAGGCCTCACTGGGAAGGTTCCTGACAGAATGGAGGACTACGGGAAGCTCAAGGCTAAGGCATTCTGGCCGCAGCTGGGCAGCCCTGACACTCCCCACCTCCCCAGGGATTCTCTAAGTGGGAGGACCTGAAGCAGGGGCCGCACCCACCCCCGCAGCCCAAGCTCACTGCGGGGGGTGGGGGGTGGGGTGTGTCCAGGGAGGCCCAGTGGCTACTCCTAGATCTCCCAGGTGCTTCTGGGAGTAGAGTTGAGGGCCAGGCTCTGACCACTGCCCTATGATGGGGCAGGGCTAGTGGGCCTTTGCTCTCTGACTCACAGGCAGACGCATATCGTTCTCGCTCAGCCTGCAGTCCACCTGCCCCCAGCTCCCCACAAGGCTCGTGGGGGAGAGAAAGGGGCACCTATTCACCAGGCCCTGACGTGCAGCTCTGGGCCCAGAGGGGAGCTGGTCTGCTGTGACCCTGCAGGGTGGGACCTCCTGGCACAGGGGACTGCTCCTGTGGCAGTGACTGGTAAGCTAGATGACTGGGGCTCAGGGAGGGAAAATGGTCACTTGGTCACTGGACCCAGCAGGCCCACCTCACAGCCTAAGATCCACCTCTTCCAGGAAGCCAGCCAGCCCTGTCCCAGGCCCACAGCACAGCACCCCCTAAAACTCCACCGCAGGGACTCCTGTCCCATCAATCACCCACGGCAGGCCTCGACCCGGCCTGCCTCTGCTCCAGCCAGCATTGTTTTGGGCACTTCCTTTCTCACCTCCAGCTCCTGCCTTCCCAGGCTGGGCCAGAAGCCCATCCCGGGAGGGACCATGCTCCAAGAGGGCAGCGAGCAGGCACGGTGTCCCTACCCAGGAAGCTTGGTGGGCGCCCACCTCCACTTGGCCAGGGCACCCAGCTGGTCACTTTCAACTGCACACAACTCTGCCAGGAACACTCATCTACCCATTTCACAGAAAGGTAAGATGGGCTCAGGGAGCAGCAGTCCCTGCATCTGCTCGAGGCCCCCTGCTGGAAGGAGGACACAGGTTGGTCTGGGAGCCCTGCCCATGGCTGCCCTCTGTGGTGTGGAGGTCTGTGCTCTGACGCCATCGTATGCAGGGCCTCTGCTGCCCTGAGGCTGGGGTGGGAGAGAAGCTGGCCCAACACACCCACTGTGTGGCCTCCCCCAGTGCTCAGCTCAGTCTGTGACGGCACCCGCCGGGGACCTCCTGTGGTATCTGGGGACCAGAGCCTCAGTCTTTGGTGAGATGGCACCAAGGAAGACAAAATCCGTCGCAGGGGACCTCTGCTCGTGCAGGTTATCCCCACAGCCCAGGTCTGAGCTACTCCTCACAACAACCCTGCCAGGGACACCACACTGGGTCAGAGAGGCCACAGAACCAGGTCTCACGGCAGTGCTGTGGGCTCCACGTGCCTGGCCCTCCTTACCTGGGCCAGGCTCGCCCTGGGCTGTGCCCGCAGGAAACAGCACACACAGCACTTGGCTGAACCCTCACAAGGCTGAGAGGAGGATGCCCACCGGACCCCGGTGAGGCCTGCTTCAGGGAAGGCAGGTGACCGGCTCAGGGTCTCAGCTTCCTCCTGAAGTGACCCCTGTTTGTGCCCCAACCCCCCCCAGGGGCCCTTTCCTCATCTGAAAGATAAAGGACTCACGCTCTGTCTCAAATAGCAATAAATGGTAACACGCACACACTGAAGCGCTGGAGAGAGGGTCTGCAGGGAGAGGCATTCCCCCAGGCGATGGAGTCATGAAGAGGGGCTTTCCCATCAAGACCACATGGGCTCAGCTGCAGCCCTGCTGGCCGGGGTGCATCTGCCTGTCCCACCTCACCCGGGGCTCCTCTTCCCCAGGGGTCACGATTCCCTCAGGCAGGCCTCCAGGCACAGGCAGTCCCCTCCACCTAGAAATCCCCCTGTCCTATCCAACCTTCAATACCCAGCATCAGATCCTCTTCTTCCAGGAAGCCTTCTCAGACTCCCAGGGCAGAGAGCGACCTCAAACCCTAATGTTCATTAGGCTGTGCTGGGAAGGCCTGTCACAGAGCTGTCTCCTTACCAGGAAGGGGGCTCCTCGTGGGGAGGGCTGGGTCTGGATCAGCGCTAAGATTCAGAGTTCCTGGATCAAAGCCCCAACACCGCAGGAGCTGAGGTCAGCTAAGCCTGGGGGAGGGGGAGGAGGTCAGCTGGGATGAGGACAATCCTCCCTGGTCCCTCAGACGCTGTTAGTGGGAGAAAGCACCGGCCTTCGGGGCAGCCGCCTGCTCACGGCCAGTTCCCAAGAGCAGCACCCTGGTGCTTGCCCAGAATCTCCAAGAAACACCCCTCCTCTTGACCTGTCCAGGTATGGGGCGCTCCCTCCATGTCTCCCAAGGTCAGGGGCTCATCCAACCCTCTGTGGCTGCACCCTCCATCACAGCCGCATCCTCCCGAGACCATCCCAGACCCAGCTGATGCTCTAGACCTTCGACAGCCCCCCAGTCACTAGAGGCCTCATGTCCCCTGCAGTCCCCCCTTCCTGACCTGGACCAGCTGTTCAGGTGGCCTTTACCTGCGTCCTCCATGCCATGGAATCCTCACACTTCCTGGGAGGGGGGGTGGTGCCACGATTCTCAGGTCA